GTAAATATGAGTAGTAATTAAAGAATTTAAATAAAAAAGGAAAGGTGACTCATATACATGGTGTCTCCTGTGCCTGGTAAGGACAGAAGCTAATGGCCTACCTGCTGCTGTGTGATGCAGAGGGTTAGAAACAGTGGCCAGAGGTAGACTGAAGATAGCCACTATGATGGGCAAATGTGTGGTAGAGAAATGGAAGAGAAAGAGAAGCGGAGTAGTCCATGTGATGGAGACATGAGGCTGAGAGAAACAGGCTGATGTGAGTGGCCTGCTTTGTCACGGGAGACCATGTTATGTCCTGGACAGCCAGTGCTGCCACTGAGAGCCAGGTCTGGGTCTGTGACCCTACTGAAACTGGGGTTTATGTTGATGTCAGTGGCTGTGTTTGGTCTGTATAGATGTCCATTGCCATGCAACCACCCAAGGCCATGCATATGACCATGGTCTGGACTGTCACTTAAAACCATGTTGATATCCAAGGGTCATGCTGAGCAGGATCCACCCATGCAGCAGGAGAGCTGGCCCTGTCCCTCACAAGAGAACTGGCTCCAGTTGTGGGGGCACAGGATTGCTGCCCCCTACAGGGCAGGGGTCCCTGAAAGGCCTGGGCTAACCAACTCAACTACCAACAAGGCCCACATCTATGACTTGCTGGAGTTTGTGAAGGTTCTGGTCCTATTGAACCATAGCTGCAGGGTCTCCTTGACCTGGGGCAACAGCAGGATATCCAATAGGAGTCACAGTGAGGATCCACTATTGAAAGTATAGCAGAAGCCAGAGGCATTGAACAAGTTCAACACCTCAGTGCAATGAACATTTGCAAGTCAAATTGTTTGGGTAAAAGGGTGCACCACATGACACACTGCAGCTTTCAAGGCAACTACAATGTACAAATATGTGATGGAGTGGTGGGCAAGATGGTTGTGTTGTTTTTTTAATCATTATTTTATTTCTTTTCTTTTGGGAGGCCTACAAGGGTAGGGGGCAGGCATGGAAGGACTGGAAATAAGTGGGAGTTGGATGCATGTTGTAAAATAACCCCTCTCCAAAAAAATTTTTTTTAAAAGTACTTAAGAAAAAAAGAAGAATGAGGGATGACTCATTCTTCACCAGAAGCCATAAACTGCCAACAGCTCCTCACCTAGGGTTGGGTCTTGACTACTCCCCTCTCTCTTTGCTGAAACTTTTAACTGGGTTGATTTCATATAGGTTTGTGAAGGTAAGCACAGTTGCTATGTTTTCATGTGTGCAATAGCCATGTCATGCCCAGAGACCAGCCTCACACAGAGTACTGCTTCCCAACATCTGGTCCTTCCATTCTTACATTCAGGCTCTTTGAGCTGCATGGCTTGAGCTCCTGAGTGTGTGATGGAAACACTTACCTTGCTTTAAAACAACCAGGGTGAAAGCACTCAGGATTACACAGCTTGCTTCCATGCAAATATTTGAAATGATCTCAAAGGCATTCAAGGTTGTAAAACATTGCCTCTGACTCTTCAGACACCTTCTATTTAGCAGACTTTCAATGACTGTCCATCAGATAAGCAGCATTGTGCGAAGTGGGTGATATTTTCCAATGATAAGGAAGATAAATCTCTTGGCTTTGTGGAGCTTCTAAACTTACAGAAGAAAAAGATAGTATTCAAATCACAAAAATATAATAAAATTAAAACCCAAGGTGATTAATGCTGAATAACAGAGACACGTCTTAAACTGAGATTTTACCTAGTTTAGAATGTCTTAGAAGGCTTCCCTAAAGAAATTATATCAGCTTAAACAGATTATTGAATCTTCTGTTGAAGGAACAATTTCAAGGTCTTCAGATGGAAAGGAATTTGGAGGACATCGGGGACAGAAAAAGGACAGAAGGTTTAGCCTGGGATCCTAAGGGCAGAACATGCAGCTAACAGTCCACAAAATAATCATTTACTATGGAGTGTCAGCCTATGTAGCCAGCATTAGGGGGAAAGAGAGATAGGAATGATACAGATCCAAAAGAAGGCCATGACTGAGTTGGCCACCATTAAGGAATATAATTGCTATTTCCCTTGGGACCATGCCATGTAAGGAAAGGGACAAGGAGACAGGGTAGGAGATAATGTTGAAGGACTTGATCTACAATGTCTCTTTCTACAGTAAGTAAATGGATGCCCTATTAGGTATTAACTTCTTAATGCTTCTGGGCTGAGTATAATGGTCTTTACCTTAAGCCATCATACTAAGGAAAGGTCCCAGGCAAGGTAAGTTCTAAGCAGTGTGCATTTCAGTCTTTGCACAGTTCCTTACTTTATTAAAGACTGACACAAGATCGATGGAGGCCTAGAGATTTCAAAGCAGGAAAGTAGTTGTAGTGATTGATATAATTCTCAAAACTGGTATGAAGACAGAAAATACAGAAAAGATCTAAGAATTTTTTGCAGATTTTGAAAGTTAATGGAAGATTTCTGCTTTTTAAATAACAAATGGCTACCCATTCTTTTTTCTCATGTTCACAGTAAAGAAACATTGTGAGCAGATTTGTACCTACTTCTATAATCACCTTTTGAGCAGGAGAGATGCACCAGTAGCTAAGAACACTTTCTGCCCTTCAGGAAGACTTGACTTTGGTTCCCAGCACCCATGTCTGTGGCTCTTAAGTGACTTTAACTCCAATTCCAAAGGATCAGACACCCTCATATGACCTCTGTGGGCACCCACACACATGTGCCATACACTCACACAGACACACACATAAATAAAAAAGAAAAAATGTCTTAAAGCAAAAAAAAACTGCTCTGGGGATGGTGGAAAGCATATTAGAAGGGGATCCAAAGCAGACAAAAAATAGCAAAGAGGGGTCCAGCTATGGTGCTTAGGGTACAGAGAGGAGGAAGATTCAGCAGACTCATGGGAAAAACAGCAACAGAGCCTGTAATGCATGTGTTGAAGAATAGCTTCCTGTGCACAATGGCATGTTTTCAGCTTGAGTGAATGGACACTGACCAGTGACACCATTCTCAGGTTTGGAAGAGGAAAGTTAAGCCTTCATTTTTGTGTGTGAAATTTTTTTCTTACAGAAAAAGTCACATGTAAAAACATCATGTTTCAAAAGAACATTGAAGTTGAAATCATCTAACTGCACATGGCAATCAAACTCTTGAAAGGACAAGAAATTTTAGGCAGACAATAGAATGAGAAAAAACCTTTGAATTAGCAAAAAGAAATCTTGGTTTCTATAAATTTTGATACCTTATTCTTTCGGCAGTTAGCAATGTACAAAATCCATCAATTTCATTATTTTGTATCAGCATTTCCAGAATATTTTTGGTTTTGATGAAATTATTATTTTCTACAGAATCAGGAATTTGGGGAATTCTTTGATATCACTATGGCAAAATTTAAATTTTACATTGTTACACACAGGCCAGCCAATAAACATTACACCTACTCAACAAAAAAGCTATACATCTATATGAAGTATAGTAATTATTTAGTATTCCAATGTTTCTTTCAGGAAACAACATATTTAGGCTTTCTCACCTTATGTATGTCTTTTAAGGACATACATGTTTGTAGTACAAAACACTCAGCAACACAGCATACTAAATGGCCTTAAGAAATATTACTTACCTGACTTAAAACTGACTTAGTTATAAGGGCTCTCCATAAGTGGGACACCATGAGTAACACTGTGAATTCAACAATGTATGATTTAAAATTCTCTATGTGGTATTTTACAAGAAAGCAAATGAGAATAGCAAAGAGAGGAAGAGGCCCCATTGATGGGAGATTCTTCTGTATATATGTTTCTCTTATTGATTAATAAAACACTGTTAGCCAATAAGGCAAGAAGATAGGCAGGGCATGAGACAAGGAGAATTCTGGGAAAGGTAGGCAGAGAGGGCCTGCCAGAAGAGTCACCATGTGAGCCACCAAAGGAGTTAGAGGTCTGGTCTTCTCTGGTAAGATAAGACCATGTGGAAATACTTAGATTAATAGAAATGGGTTAATAATTAAGACTAGCTAGCCAATAAGAAGCCCTAGCCACCAGTCAACAGTTATGTAACTAATATAGCATCTGTGTTTATTTGGGGATCAAGGGCCACAGGACAGGCAGGAACAATGAACCTCTCATTACACCCCATTGCCCTATTTGTTTCTAATAGGGCAACACTAATACCAACTTAAAACATCCAAGAGAGATCATGTGGATGTCAGTCCTGGGAGGAGGATTAGGTCTTTTTTCAGTTTCTAAGAAGTATTAGTGAAACCTGGTATCCCAATTCTCATGCAAACAACTGATTTTTCTGAATGCCTACTAATTTTTAGGATACCCACATACAGTTATTTACAATAAAATATTATTTTCATCCTCTCTTTCAAGTCTTCACAAAGTATTTTAAAACCAAGTCATTTGACACTATGTTCAGCAGGTTCACTCTAAGCTCAGTGCCCCTTCCTTAAGTATTTTTAAGACAATGTGAAGGAGTGAGGAAATAAAACACAAACCAGTATACAAACTACAGGTTTTGGACTCAAATGGCCCTAGGTTTAATTTCTTGGCTTGGATGACTCTGTAACATTAATTGACTCACCAACTTCCTTGTTTTCAGCTAAAAGGTGATAATGTGTCTAAGGTACTTAGCAAAATAAACAATAAATATGGCATCCCATATTTAAAAGGTTCTGACAAAATTAACTTTTATCCATTTTGAATATATAAGATATTATATGTTATTAGAAGGACACATTTCTACTTTTTTTCCTGAAAAATAAGTCAGTTGAAAATATACACATATTAAATCTGCACTCATTGTAACTGTGAACTTGATTGGTATATTTTCTAGACCTGGATGACATCAAGTAGTCTGTATTTAAACACAGTGATACAAATAAAATATTTTACTTACACTGCCTCAAACTTAATTTATGCTTCATTTATAGTTTCAGAATCAGCAGGAACCAAGATTAAAGCCCAAAATGTAAATGATTCCTTTAATTTGGTACAAAGTGACACAGACATCTTTCAAGTACATGGTCAAACTTTTATTTGAAAGCTGAATTCCATGTGTAATGAAAATAGTTTTGAACCATACATATCCATAAGCATAGTACAAACACCATCTACAACACAAACACATTTGAATAAAGATCTACTGTGAACATTAATCTAAGTAAGAACAGAAAAGCTAACAAGGTGAGCCTGCTCACTGTACCCTTTGTCTCTTTGACAATGCAGTCAGTTGAAGACAAAACAAAGTAGCTTTGGCTCAGTCCTACCTATCTCACTATAGGAACACTAGGATACATCTACTACCACAGACCACAAACCAGTCCTATTACAACCAATTTAAAGTTGTTATAAGAATTATGCCTTCATGGCATGTAAACATACTTAGGGTTTCAATTGGCAAATATGTTTTAAATACTTAGAAAAGCAGCCAACATCTCTCCTTATTGTTCTCTCTCTCTTCCATCAGTATAAAATAGCATTAAGTCCATTGTGCTCTACAGTTTTTTTATAAACATGGGTACATCTAAAATATCAGATGCCTTTATACCAAGAGAATAAATCTACTGATTTCTCATCTTATAAATACGCATGCAGAATTAGTGGAAAACGCTTTTATATAGCAAAGACCCTGCTTATTTTTCTTCTGATTAATAATTTTCAATGGCATGTGCAAATCATACTCCTCACTTAACAGTAGATTTAGTTTATTTTCTGTAGATCTGTTTTCTATAAAAATATATTTATGTGCTTAGAGAGGGAAAAGTTGAGTTGGTGTATGTGGGGGTGACTTTTTGATACATAATTTGATTACAGGTTGGGTTATGAAGTTAAAAGGCATCTTAGATTTTATCACTTGTAAATTTTCTTTGTACAAAAGAACACCCTGTGATAGCGAACATTAGCACTTTGTAGCACAGTTTGACGTGAAGCAGTTCAGCAACCTGCCTAAGGTTTTTATGTAAAGTCAGCGCTGGACCCTGGAAGAGAACACAGATTTTTCCTGACCCTCGAGCAGCTCTCTCTGAACCTATCCCCATCCACAATCCTTGAGATTATATACAATCACTTATATTAAAATCATATTGTCAGTAGACTACATAAAGTTACTACAAAAAAATTAAGAATGGAGTTGTACATATTAGCAGCTGCCTTAGGACTCAGGGGCCATTTCCCAAATAAAATTGCCCATTTGTAATCAGCATTGCATTTCACACAATCTACCACTTATTGTCTAAGAGAGAAAAAGAATTAAATCCACTTTAACCTACTGGATTTGCTCTCATTTTGACATATTGAATAATAAGGTCTACAATTAAAATAAAAGCAATCCATGAACCTTGTCTTGCTGTACTGAAGATTTACATCAGAATGAAGCCGAATAGTATTTAGAAGTTCACAGAGGCTAGCAAAAGCTGTTATAACACAGTCTCATTTTACAACAGCTAAAAAAGAATGATGAAGTCCATTTGGAACAAAAATGTAAGCATTATTGTTGACTTTTGACTTAAATATTGTTAAATTCATAATGAATCTATTCTAGATTTTGGATATTATTTTCAACTCATGTGACACGTTCCAAACAACACTTAGACTGATTACAAGAAGGAGGAAGCAGAATGATACCATAATTAACTCTCAGTGACATCCTTTATTTTCTGTGAAGAGCAGTATCACAGTTCCTTCCACAGAAATAGTACATGATGATGGCTTCTCCAGCAATCTGTGCATTACTCATCAGATAGGGCTGGAGATCAGTTTGCACAGGTTTAAGTGTGGACCCTCACACACAGGCAGGCTAGAGCACAACAATGTCTTCCCCTTTCTTTTGCTACTTACAGGTGAGTAGCCAAACATTGGGGTCCATGGTTTCGAAACAAGCTTTTCCTGTCTATGTATTCTGGAATATACATGAAGTAAGAAAGTATTTTTCATGTACATTACTGCATTGGCCATTTTACATATCCATGATTTTAAACCCCAAGCAACACACTGCATCATGTCAATTAAACCTGGACACTGAATAGCATATGCCAGTAATTACACAAAGCAAAGTGAAATCGGTGAACTGGATCACTTAACATAGTTAATATTTAGCAGTCACGTTAAATGTTTCTGTTAAATGAGAGAGCAAACATTAATTATTTACTTATATGTATTCAGAGTCCTTCAAGTCATTTCTAAACCATTCTAAAACTTCTGTACCATTTTAAGACGGACTGGTAGCCCACATGCCAGAAACTAAATTCCTGGACACTGTACTAACTTTGACAGAGGGAAAACATTGAAAATGATGATACTACCACAAATACATTTACAATATGTTATAAACTAACTGGTATAGAAGAACTTCTGCTATAAATAATTTTCTTTGTGGGGGAATGGGGCAGGAACCCACTCCAGAACTTATTTTGAAAAATATGAATGCATTTTCCTCCATGGTTATATTTTATTTTGAGAGCATTGAAGTAGAGATATATAAGGACAGAATCCAATTCTTCATGTAATCTTGAATTTGGAACCCCGGGTTATTGTGTCTAGCCCCAGAAGAATGAAAACAGCATCCTACTATATACACTCTAGCTGTACATTCATGCCTATTAATGTTCTCTTTCTCACTTCAAAATAAAACACTATGTTTTAAACTGTGTAAATATTAATACAATATGTACAATGCATTCATGAAATACATCCAAGGGTACCAGTATATAAACATAAAGGCTGAATGCTGTGAGCATACAAATGAAGACACAAAATACAATCATCAACATCTTTCTGCTTTTAAAATAACTCCTGACCACCACTCCTTTTGAGCTCCAGTTAGTCTAAGTTTAAAAACAGAAAGAAAGGAAGAAAGGAAGAGAGAGAAAGAAAGATGCAGAGTTACCATACTGACAGAAATTAAATCTTCCAGAAATTGAAAACAGTGTAACTCTGCATAAAATGGCAGCCTCTGGGCAAATTGTTAGGAGCTCAATAAATACAAGTTGCATGATCATCTATGTCTTTTATTACTAAAATTTTAAATAATAACGTTAGACTATTTAGATTCATGAAGTGTTTAATAAACATTCATAATCCTTTTTACATTTTTAAATAACCAGCTTGCTTGCTTACAATCTTGTTTCCTGTAGTGAATCAAAGTCACTAAAACAGTTCTTAAAAATTAAGTACAATTGTGCAGCCAGAAAGAAACCCACATGGTTAGCAACATTAACGCACGCACACTAAACAGGAGAACCAGGCAGAAGCAGAGTATGTGAAACAGGAACTTTGGATTGAGTGAAAGTGGATCTAAGTACAGGATTTGTTTTGTGTTCTGCATTTTGAGCACCCGAAAACAAAACCAAAAATGAAACACAGGCCTGAAATGTTTGGCATCTGATTTTTTTTCTTTTTGAAGGCAGTGCTATTTTTCTGAGCAAATTGCAGAATGTCAACCTCTAGATGTGTGTTTTCACTCCTCTGTAAAAGGCTTTGCTCCCCAGAAGAGACTGGGGATGTCTGGGCTAGCCAGCCACAGTGCTTGAATGTGCTGTGCTTATGCCCGTAGTGGGAACGTGGCTGTTGAACTTCCATTGCTTTCAACAGAGCCCTTCTCTTTAGCTCCGGTGTAGGCCCCAATGAAAGACCCATCTTCATTGAATATGGAGTGGTCCCCCTCTCCATATTCCACTAAGCTGTCAGCACTCTCTGTGGGCTGCATGTTCCTATTCAAGGACCGAAGGCTTCCTTTGAGAGGCTTCTCATCACTGTCACTAGAAGACAAAACAGAGCCATTCCCCAGGAGCTCAGATTCACAGGCACATACAAGACTCCTTCACAAGTGCTAAGAGGTTCTATAATTTTCAACTTGATCTTATTAACACAAATGACAGGGACATAAAGCTGAAGTGACACATCCATAAAGAAATATTTTTAAAGCCGTAACTAACTAATTTTCTTCATTCTGAGTGACAGAGAAAAATTTTCTATTTTTTAAAAACACTTCTGCTTCCCTTTTAAATGAGAAGCTTCTTTGGGGCATGAAGATGCAACATGTTGATTTCTAGTGAGGCTATGGTGTGGGTACCTGCGTGCCCCCTAAACTCTCATGCTGAACTGCTTCACCCCACTATGATGGCAGTGGTGTGTGGGGTCACCAGATGTTACTATTCACAGAACAGTCTTCATGAGAGGCATTTTCCCTCATGAAAGGTCCTCCCATAAGCTGCCTTGCAGCTTCCAGGGGAGAACAAGGGAAAAGAGCACATAAGTATGTTTTGTCTCAACCTGAATCTCACTGTCCAGTCTCAGAATTGTGAGAAATATTCTGTTGTTTATAAGGTAGTTATGCCACTTGCAATTGCTCCTCAATGGCCTAAGAATACATGTGAAACTTTGAATAATAATTGGGTATTATCTCAATGCCCCATGAGAAATGAATCCAGGCATGGACTTCTGGCTTATGGTCTTCAGGAGACAGGCCTTTGACTAGAACTGTCATCTCACCTGAAGTTTTGGCTGATAATGGATGTGCATCCTTATGTGTGTTTTGACAGAGCTTGGTTCCATTCAGAGCTTGGGTTAAGAAATTCAGATTTTGGCAAGACAGAGTCAGTCTCTGTTCCTTACCATGTGGACTGATATCTGGGTCACTCAGTAATATCCTGCTTTGGGCAGAGCAGGGACACCAGAGGGAGATTCCAAGTTGTATCTGTTGCTACTGTCCCAATGTTTTCATCTTTTATCTCTTATTTGATCATTTACGCTCCTGTATCTGTGCAAAATTTTTCTCTTTTGTTTAGTGTAACCAACCAAATTTAGTTTCTTATGAAATTTTTCTTGTGGAGGAGAGGATGGCCTAGAAACCCTTCCCCTAGAATGAGATTGATGAATACTCTCTATGCTATTCTAGAGTCCTCATCCAGTGGCTGATGAGAGCAGAGACAGACATCCACAGAAATACACTGTCTTACAATTGTTAAAACACCTTGATTAAATACAGCAGATCACACATCTCTCCCTCTCTCTGTCCCTGTCTCTCCCCCTCTCTCTCACATACATACATAGAGAGAGAGAGAGAGAGAGAGAGAGAGAGAGAGAGAGAGAGAGAGAAAGCACATTAAAGTAGTTGAAGCACTTTTTATGAAGACTAAGGCCTTGAACTCAAAGGATAAAAAGGTAGGATAATGGGTAGGTATGAATTAAGTAATGTATGCACAATGAAATGTGAAATAATCATTTCTGAATGAAAATATAGTTATGAATACTACTAATATACCATCTAAGTGCATTTTACTCATTACAAAAAGCAAAACTGAAGTCACAAAATTATGTCATTATATATGACATAATTTTGTGACTTCAATATATATATATATATAATGAGTTCCTGAGTGATAGATGACAAGAACCATCTGTGTTGGACATAGCATAACTCAAGATATCTGTGTGGTGTGGTAACGGGCTTCAAAATTAGGACACTGAGGTTCGGAAAAGTAAAAAGATGTGGCTTTGGGGCCAGATCTTGAGAAACAAAGACATATATCTAAGGTCAAAGCATGTAAAAAAGTTCCTGAATCATGGAAAAGACAAAAAGTTTGCTGATGAATGTGAAGTTTTGAAATAAAATGCCAGATAGAATACTGACTATTTGAAAGGCTATAACTGTAAACAATGTAGAGAAAAGAAATTGTCTATCCTTTCAATGAAGTTGCAGAGTATAGACTAACAAATTTATGAGCAAGGAATAGATTCAGGAGTTTGTTTTGCTTTGTTTCCCTTTATAAAAAAAAAAAGTGTTTGTGGATAGTGGTCCTGAGACCTCAGTGATTCCTGTAAAATGGAATGTGAACAAATTTGTAATGTCTTCCCTTTAAATGTATGCTGAACCTACTGACTCACCCAAGCATAATAAATAGGATATACTAGATCAGTGAGGTATAAGTTCTAAGATTGGTGTCTCAATATATGGATTGTAACTTGGGTACTCGCTCTGGTGTTCCTGCTCTGCCTGAGGTGCATATTATTAAGTGTCCCAGAGAAAGGTCACTGGCAGGGAACTCAGGATGACTCTGGCTTGACAAAATCTGAATTTCTTAACCCAAAGGTCTTAATGGAACTAAGCTCTGTCAACACACACATAAGGAAGCACATCCACTATCAGCCAAACTTCCAAGTGAGACGACATTTCTTGTCAAAAACCTGTCTCCCGAAGACCATAAGCCAGAAGTACATGCCTGGATTCATTTCCCATGTGGCATTGAGATAATGCCCAATTATTATTCAAAGTATCACACTTCAGAGATAACTAGGAAGCAAATTCCAATCAGTACAACAGCACTGTCCGTAACCTATAACTCTCCCAAGCAACAACTTTTTATTTTTACTCTCCTGTTATCTTTTCTTTCTTCCCTTCCCCTTCTCTTGTCTTTCTTTCCTTCTCTTCCTTACATACATTTCTGTCTTTCTCTGGTCTGATTTTCTTGTTGAGAAATATAAAAGCATAAAAAGAAATCATCTAATCATCAGAAAGAGAAGTGATGGACATAGAGCCAAGCAGAGGCATTGTGATGCTCAGACCCATATTAGTTACTCCAGGTCAGCTACTCAATGTACCCCACATCCCTGGTCATGCAGATATATTCAGAGATGAGCCAGTGAGGGCCATCTAGATTTCTTCTTTGATATGGATTCTTGGATCATATATATCAACATCAATGTAGTTTCGGAACTTGTAATAATTTTCTTGGCTACAATGGAGAGAGGTGATCTGACTAAGGGATGGTGACATTTCAAGAAAGAAATGCTAAGAAATATCATGGGTATGGGGTGCAGCAGAGATGTCTAACTGGAGAACTGGGAGTTGCAATCCATTCTCTAATGCTGCTTTTGTACTAGACTTCTTGCTGTGTTGCCCCTGTCTGATTATACTCACACATTGAGTCACTCTCTTCAAGCAGTTATCAGTGACACTGTGCTTTAAGTATTAACTTATCTTTTAGGGAGCTCTTTTCCCAGAATCCTTGTCATGCAGAAACAGTTTTTCACTTTTTAGCCTTTCGTTATAATTGACTGATAATATTATTTGAATACAGCAGGTTTTTTTAAGTCTAGGTTCATGTATAGAGTTGGGTAGGAACCTCTTTAAGTTTGTAAATGCACGTGGAAGAGTTGCAATCTGTGTCTGTGGATGCAAACTTAAGGTAATCAGATTCATAACGGCAACACTAAGAGTGCCTTTAAGATGTTTCAATAACTTAGTTTGTGGGGACATGACACATGACATGTGTTTTTGCACAGAGTTTCAAGCAAGGAATCTTGATGCACCCTATTATCCAGACTGTGGTCCTCAACATACCTCCAACCATATATACAATAATTAAGGTCTCACAAAAGTAGATAACAGTAGCCAGAAAGGAAAAAAAGAAAGAAAAAGAAGGAAGAAAGATTGAGGAGGGAATGAAAGAAAGAGAGATAGAGAAAGAAAGAAAGAAAGAAAGAAAGAAAGAAAGAAAGAAAGAAAGAAAGAAAGGGAGGAAGAAAAAGGAAGGAAGGAAAGAAGGAAGAAAGGAATGAGTAAGGAAACCTTTGGTAAAATTTCTGTTATAAAGTCAGTGTGATATAGTTCCATTACTTGAGTTATAAACAAAGCACTTTATCCACTTGACAAACCTGACTAAAGTGTTTCAACTGATCACAAAATACAAAATTACATTTACCTGTATTCACCAAAAGTTTCATCTTTTGCTGATTGAACTTCTGGATCTGGGTGTAAATCTTCCTTTTCTTTTACTGAAACAAAAAATTTAAAATAGTCTAACATCAATGATATTGTAAAGATATTTAAATACTGGGACATGAGATGGGCTCTTGATTCTCTTACCTTAAAAATATCAAACAAACAAGGTTCCTTCAAGATTCTATTCATGACTGCTTACCCTTAGCTGTCCTTCAATATGAAAAGTTGTTTTTGTTGTTTTTAAATGGGCCTGGATGGAGGGAGGGCTTCAGAACATCTATAGGTTCACACTTCATAAATGTTATTTTAAAAAAGAAATCAAAGAGGAATACTGCCTCTCCTTACAGTTTCTAATTAATGACCTGGAATATCCATTAGTCATTATTATGAACATAATTGATACATGTAAGATTTCAGAGAAAAATGAAATGACAGCTGTGTCAATTACTCATGCTATTTTATGAAAATGTATAAGTTGTGTCTTTCATGGTTTTATGAATATGACAGATTTCCAATAAATGTTTACTTGATAAACCAGGAAGTAATAAAGGACGGTTTCTAAATCTGAATATTGTAAGCCCAGAGATGCAGGAGTTAAATCTTTCTCCCTTTGTAAAAACACAATTACAGGAAACAAAAACAGCAAATATATATGTCTATAATCTCAAATTGAATGTAATTTAGATAAAAATAAACAAGTTAATAACTAGGATGATTTTTATTTTTATTTAGTGTACCATTAATTCAAGAGGTAGTGCACTCAATAGAAGTTACTCAGTACTATAATAGGAAATGCACCCTCCTCAATGTAATATTGAGCTCCAACATTCTATCAGAATATAACAGCACAAAACACCAGAAGCAGAGACAAAGAAGCAGAGGCATGCTATAAATAAACGAGCTCCTTTTAAGGGCACTGAAATATATGTGTTACTTAATAATATACCTTCTCAATAACTGATATATCTATGAACAGAAAGCATAAATTTATAAGAAATATAATCTTTAAGAACCTATTTTAATGTTCTTATCTTTAAGATTCATTTCATTTTGGGGGATGGGGGATTGTCACAGAAGCCTTCTATGTCCCTCTTTAACAACCTGAGTCTGTAGTCATCAATACCATTGCAATAGAAAATAGTGATAAGGATGCTGTGGTATAGTTCTCCATAACTGATGGCTTCTGGAAGGGGTGTGGGTAGGGAAGGACTTAGTTTTCTTTAAGGGGCTGGCCACTTGGAATTTGATAGTGCTTCAGTCATTTTTTTCTTGTTCTTTTTCTTGTTCTTCTTCCTCCTCCTTCTCTTCTTCTTCTTGTTCTCCTTCTCCTCCTCCTCCTCCTCCTCCTCCTCTTCCTCCTCCTCCTCCTCCTCCTCTTCTTCTTCTTCTGTTGCTGCCTCTACTTCTTTTTTATAGGACTAGGAATTGTGTGTCCTCTCAGTGTGCATGATGTGAAATTCCCAAATAATCAATAAAAAATATTATGATAAAAAATATCCATTTCATTTTATGTTTGTATGAATGTAGTTGCCTAAGGAGACCGGAGGCATCTCACTCCCTGAAGCTAGAGTTACAGGCTATTGTGACTTGTTCAATATGGTTGCTAGAAAGCAAACTCAAGACCATAAGTAAGCATTTGAAACCACTGAACCATCATCCTAACCCATATAGTCTCTTTTAAGTACTAAAACAGCCAGATATACTGTCGCAAACATTTAATCTCATCATTTAGAAGGTACAGGCACAAATGGATCTCTGAGTTTGAAGACAACCTAGTCTATCTAGTGAGTTCCAGGCCAGCCAGCTTTAAGAGAGAAACATTCAAATAAATAATTAGTGAAAACTAGCATTATGCACTATGTATGTTTCCTTTTGTTGTTTAATTAAAATAATTCTCTTTAATATATTTCAAGCTAATGTGCTATAGTTTTATCTATGCAATTTTTTATAAAATACTTTCTGCAGACAAGTTGAAAATCACATTAAGCTATGTTTTTACCTGAATACTTTCCACCTCTGTTTCTCTTCACAAAGCAAATAGTTAACAATATGAGTGTGAGTAGAGCTATTGCACACATCAGTCCAATAAACCAGCCTTGAGTGGAGATGTCATCGTACAAGCCAGCATATTCTGTTGTACAGAGAGAAGGTGCAAAGTTGAGCCATCTCTAGAATCAGGTTTTGATATTAAGCAACATTGGGGCACAATCCAATACTATTTTAAAATAATAAATAATTAATCCTTCCTATGAGTTCATAGACAATAAAGTAATCTAAAGGCATTTTGTGGAGAGACACTAGAAAATAATTCCTTCCTTCTTAGGGAAGAGGTTCTGTCAGGTTGCATTTAGCTCTGAAGATGAGAATCAGAAAGGATAGTGAAGTTAAATGCAGAAGCAGTGGCAAGCAAGTCATAGCACAAGCTGCCTGGGTTACAAGCAGATCACCACGGGACCTCTGTGAGCTCTGGTTTGCTTTTGTTTTGCTTTTAGTTTCTATTATTGACAGGGGTTAATGAGCATAAAGCACATTAGGGTGACTACTCTGGTAAACCAAGTAAGGGAAACATGAGATCATTATGATATAATTTCATTTCGCTAATTTTGAAATACTATGTATGCTAATAAAAAATATAATTGGGACCTTTATATCTAGTGTACTATATACCTGAAATAGAATATATATGTAAAATTAACCCACAGGACATAGTGTATTGTCTAAGACTACAGCCCACACAATCTCATTTCTCACCTCTCCCTCTTGTCTCAATTACATCTTGAAAAATGCTATCGTTATCACCCCAGTTCTTAGTCATTAGGTGAACAATATGTTCCGCTCCCGGCACAAGTACCTCTACAGGGTGAATCTTTTGTGTAAGATTTACTCCTTCTGTTATCTTCCTGATACCTTTACCTAAGAAATGTACACAGTTAAATCATATGACTTTAATCGCTGAAAAGTAGGAGAGAAATGAAAAAATATGTATCATATTTTGAGATAAAAAATAATTTTGGCATTTTTATCTTAAATGGCTCTTGAGTCATCATGGACCCAGAAATGAATATTTCCAAATTTTTCTTAAAATGTTGAAGATGAATAAATGCAATGATGTCTGCTCATGGCCATTTACGGATGAGATGGTACTATAAATCTGCCTTCATGTGAATGGCTCAAAACCAAACACAGACTCAAAAAAATTCCATTTTTTGTAATCTTTGTATTAGTTGAATTTTCATAGCTAGTGAAAAGCTGACTAAATGATCTTTATCTTATGATTACGAATAGAATTATGAATTATGACTTTAGATATATTTTCTTTAAATATATAAACACATTGTTGCCTTGATCTCAATATATTCTGGCAAGATGGCATCATAATATATTCATGTAAAAAGTATTTTAAATTAGAATCTTTGGATAGAGTAAGTGCAGGTTTATAGGTACATTTAAATGGAATGGTTTCACTGAGACTTGCAACATGTATGAAAAAATGAGTAATTTTCTAAGAGAAATTACCAACAATCTGTCAATAATTAATCATTGGACCTCAGAGTAACAGATAAAAAATCAGTACAATTTAATTAATGAAATTAATGTAATTAATGTACATTAATCTCTGATATTGCAATTAAAGATGTAAAATATTTTTTCTAGGAATCAACTCAACATAGAAATTGTAAATTGGTAAACATTGATAATTTACACATGAAATGAAATAAAATCCCTTGTGAGAGTATAATGGATGATGGCTGATGAATCTCTTTGTTTCGTGGGCACAGGAAACAAAAATATTTGGTTATAACTTTTCATCACAGAATAAAATTTAATTATATGACTACTGGACAATGAAGGATTTCATTAAAAATGGTGCCATAGAAGACATAAATCCAGTTACACAGAGGAGCAGAGCTTTTAGAATGGATTACCATAATAGAATGGAATTAATTCTTACTTTAAAAACCAGAAATATTAGTATATCATTAAGTGCAAGCTTTAGAAAAACAGAAATACAAAGTCATTTACTCAAACCTATACTGACACAAAAGCATATTCTAACTCCATCCTTCTCCACCATTTAATTAGAGAGCCCCCTTCAAATTGGAGTGATAACCAGAAAACAAAAGTATACATGTTAAATCTCAAATTTTCAATGCCTGAGTTTTAAATATTGTTATCTAGTCAAAGGAAGGAGAAGAAATGTTTGCAGCAATAGATTCTAATTTTAACTGTTGTCAGTTTTAGAGTTTTTAGTGAAGCTGAGATATATCTCCTCTGTAGAACTGTACAATAAATATTCAAAGATTATGTTGAAGTTCAGTGGAAAAGAAACTATAATTTACAGCATGGCAATATATGTCTACAGAAGAGAAATCAGTGTCAATAAGGGGAAACCGCAGAAGTTGGAATACTGAAAATGCAGATCTCTGGAAAAGAACACAAACACACTTTTTAATTACCAACACATGATACTGAAGCAATGTGCCTTTTTTATACTGAACCACATTACTTCTATCCTCAATGTGCAACAAAAATGTGACATCAGTTATGCAGCCACTCAACAATATATCTGCTCTCCACAAAAGTTTGTTAAGAATGAATACAAAAAAATGCCCAGCTTTCCAATGTATGTAGTAGACTGTGGAACATGGTTAAGCATTTCTCTGGATTTTTTCATGTTCCTTATTGGCATGAATGGGGCTAATATTCCTCCTGATTGTTAAGTTGTCACTTCTATCAAAACAAAAATTATATCTCTGGTTTAGTATCTTGTATGAACAATATAGCTATTTTGACTACTAACTATTCTCTAGACCACTGTGAGTTGCACAATTGGTGCCAGTTTGTGCCTTTGATAATCATTAGTGACTAGACCATTGTCATTATCTTGAAGTCCAGCATTTTTACTAGATTAATGACTTCTTCATTTCACTCAGTGTTCCATTTTTCCTTAACTTACAGATTTGAGAGAGATGTTATTTGAAAATACTCTTCTATATAAGCAACTTTAAGTATAGAGGAGAAAACATAGACCAAAAGTTTTGTAGGTAGTATAGAAACAGTAACAGGGAGAAACCTGTAGTAAAGTTCAGAGTGTAACAATTCTTATCAGCAATACAATGAATGGTAGTGATTCACACATTTGAGTGAATCATAATTTTGTCATTAAAAAATGATGCACAATTTGATTTTCTACCTCACTAAACTCCTGTTCCCAGTATTTCTCCCATTGATTTAATAGTGCTCCTAATCTACAGTTCAGAAAACCACTCAAAACAGAATTACATTTGTCATATACCATTTTCGAATAAATTTGATTCTCTTTCTCTTCTTGCCCTCTTCCTTCAATAACTTTCTATTCCCTCAAAGCCCCCTATGCCTGATCACTCTGAACCACACACAAGTCCCCTTTTCTTAGCTTGTTTATGAGAACATCAGTTCTTAAATAAATTTTACTTTACTGCTTAATCTATTTCAGTCTTGATGTATTATGGATATTACATATAGATTAGCAAGAAAAACCATAACATTTTCATTGGAGAAATAATTTTGCAAAGTATATTGTTACAATATAGAAGAAAGATAGAAATGTAATTTAATTGTAACTGTGCTATGTGTGACACAACAGACTGATAAGTCACTTTCAATTGTTACTTAGCTTGAATCACCAGACAGTAAATTTATATACTGTCACTCAAAGCATGGAAGTTATACATATTAGATTATTTTCTGTAAAATATCTACCACAATAAGGGACAATTTTTGAACAGAAATATTCTCCAAAGAAAAATATCCTTCTTCTAACCTTGTGAGAAATTTTATGAGTACATGTCCACTTATTTTACTTAATTAGAAGTATGTTCCTGACTTTGTATGCACTAAGATATGGTTTAGTTGTTGTTCAGAAACCCAATAATTGAACCAATGTGAACTTTACAAACAAGATCAGTAAATTCTGCTCCTGTATCAGTGGTGCATGCATCAGATAGATTTGGGTCAGCCATTTCTAATTTTCAGAGACTGGGTGCCTGTGTGAAGCCACAGTATGCAGAAGCATCATATACTTACTCCCTTCTCCCAGTGTGGCACTTTCCTCACTTATTGGCTTTCCACAGCCTTTTGAGGTGCATGCCTTCAAGTAGAACTTGTATTTGGTTGTTGCATTGAGGTTTGAGAGATGCCAGCTAGATTTAGATGGAGTAGTAACATTGATTTCATTTAACTCTCCAATCTCATAAGTGTCGTTTACTGAAGAAATAAGAATGAACATTAGTGCTTCAAAGTTCTTCACAATTGAAGTTACAGTTGTATTTTTGTTTCTACTTATTGAAAAAGTGGCCATCATGATTCATCACCACCAACTCTTTCCAGGTACACAGAATTAGTATAACTATATCAACTGTGAGAAGACTAAGCTATGTTAAGAGTAAATCCCTTCACAGAATGAGACTCAGTGACTGGTAAATTGGGACTTTAATCTAAACCATAGTCATTTGACTCTGAGTTACCATGCAATAAATATAGCACCAGTCATCTTCACAGTTTGTTATATATGTTAGACACTTCTTCATTACTGAATGTTTACCAGATCCTTAACAGAGTTACTTCCAATTTTTTGTTGTTTGAGATGATAAATAATAAAGCACAATTATTATTTTATGTTTTCTAGAGTTTGAATTTAAAATAAGACTTCAAGTAAGCATACATGTTCCTGGATTGGTAACAAAATTGTTCCTCATCCTTATTGTGTTGGAGGTATCATAAGTATAATGCACATTTAGTATTCCCACTCTCCTGAGTGTAACTTAGCAATTCAATATGCTATGTAGTTTTGGTGGCTGACTCTCATTATTGTTTGACTAACTAGATGCTGTAATCAGCTGCCACTGCCAAGCCCCATCAGAGAATATAGTGCTGCAAATGGGTAGCCTAGGAGAAGATCAAACTTTAAAAAAAAATGTGAGGTCCCAGCAGAAATATATGCTCTTACCATTTCTCTTAAATGCCCACCAGGAATTGTTGGTAAGACTTTATTGCCGAAGACAAACTTTTGTCAGGAGGCATGGAATAAAATCAAGCTGGAAGTGATCTGGAAGCTTTCTCTCTGTTACTTAGCTTATATAGTATCAGAAAGTACTGAACCAGATACTTGGGTAGAAAATTCATCAGCATTTTTACCAAGTTGTAAACCCTGAAAACTAAAGTTCTGATCTATATGATGAGACTTATCCATTGGTGCAATAATGATAATAATATAATAAAGTAATCAACATTTTTAAAAGTTCACTTTATAGCTTTGTATTGCTCTATAGGGAATATTGTTCATTATGTAACAAGCTAATTCCTCAAAGAAAAATAGAATCTTTGGTAGGTGAAATCCAATTCAAATCTGTACTTACTTATCTGGTATTGTAAAAGATAACCAGTTAAATTTCCATTTAGTTTCTTAGGCAGTCCCCAGGATAAAGTGGCAGTGTCTTTATCAACTTTGATGACCTTGAGAAAACTTGGCTGTTCAGGTACTAGAAAACACAAGATCATAAATGGATAGTCATAGCTAATGAATTTCTAGAAAACCAAACAACAAATCTCGACGAGAGAACATATTTGTAGAAACCAAGATGTGAACTCCTCTGAACTTCACGTTAACTATCAATAATGAAGGGAATGTTTAACAGTGCCATTACGTAATCTGCATAGATGGCACCTTCCACATTTATTCTCTCACCTCCTTCTGGTGTTTGAAATATATAAGCCTCACTCTCTGGACCAGCTCCTTTGGAATTATAGGCTAAGACTGTTAGGTGATATTCACTGAAGGCGTCTAGGGACGGAACCATTCCAGAGTTCCGCTGTCCTGAAAATCGTAGGATGTTCACTTCTTTGGGATGTGTCCTTCCATCCAACAGACTTTTGGTTTTCCACCAATTTATCTGCAAAGAAAATGCAAATCCTTTAACATAGGAATCATGGTAACACACACTCAGTTGACCTCTTGGAATCATTTTAAAATCTCAGGAAAGAAATAAACTCAGTAGTACCCACAAGAAAGTAAAAATTAAACAAAATAATTACTTAAAAATATCAACCTGGTACCAACCTGGTATCCTCTCAGAAGCCCGTGTACTGTTTCCTTTGGAATTGATGACCAGGTAACTTTAACTAATGTGCTGTTCATAACATCCACACCATGGATCACAGGAGCTGTACTAGGATCTATGAAACATTAACATTGATTAGCTTCCAATGACTTACACACATGATTCATAAGAGCTCTTTCCAAGAGTGTTCTATGGAATAATCCTTCTGCATGCTGTGTGAATATACATTGCTCTGATTGGCTAACAGCTGAACAGGATAAAGTTAGGTGGGAAGCCAAAATGAGAATGATGGGATCAGGAAGGGTGGAGTCTGGAGTCACCAGACAGTCAGAGAACTAAACAGTCACACAAAATGGGATAGAGGTAAAAAGCCATGAGCCTCAGGGCAGATCACAGATTAACAGATATGGATTAAGTTGTAAGACCTAGTTAGTAACAAGCCTGAGTTATTGGCCAGTCATTTATAATTTATATTAAGTCTCTGATTCAGTTATTTACAAAGCAGCTGCCAGCTATTTGGGAGCAGGCTGTCAGGACAGGAAAATTTTGCCTACAATCTTCATAACATTTAGGTGGGGAAAACACTTGTGTGCTTTTGGTTTCAATGGTATCAGTAGTTTCTTGGTACAGAGGACTTTCTCAGCTCACAGGAGTTACTTTATCTATCCTATTCAGAAATCCCAATAATGGGGAAAATGGAAATTTAAAGCCATGTTTCCTGGAATGTTCTTTGAATCAAAAAAACATCATCCCCAGTAACATGAAGAAATTATTTCAGAATTAGGTTGACATTAAAACAAAAGCTCTCTTGGTCAGATTTAGAGTTATTATGTATTTGTTTTATGTATTTATTTATTTAGTCAACTTGACATGGGGCAGGGTCATTATAGAGGAAAAGCAAGTTCAAACTGAGAAAATGTTTTTATTACCTTGCCTTTATCAAGTCTGAATTAACTAATGAATTTCTTGATTCATTAGCTGATCTTGAAAGTTCTAGTCCCTTGTGGGTACTATCTCCCCTGTGCTTGTCTCCCTGTGTTGTACAATAAATCGGACTGTAAGCCAATAAAGCAAGCCAATATGCAGCATTCCTCCATGGCATCTACATCTTTTCCTGCTTCCATGTTCTTGTCTTGAGTTCCTGCCTGACTTCCTTAAGTGATGTAGTGTTTGTCTAAGAGTTATAAGCTGAAATAAACCCTTTGCCACTTACATTGCTTTTGTACCTAGTGTTTATCACAGCAAAGTAAATATAACAGTCAACATTAATTATGTACTATATTTCAGATATTTAGAAACTGTACCTGGATATTCTTATAAGATAGGCATTGTCATTCTGTTCTATAGAACTGAGATTACTAAAATGGAGCCTGTAAGACCAAGTGCTCATAAAGGATGTTCTTTGTGTCTTTTTATTTGAGTATAATAATCTGACGGCTAGTAGGATAAGAGATCACTTATCATTCTTCCTTCAAGACCATTCCTTCTTGATTCAAAACATGACTCCAGATACCGGTAGAAAATAACAGTATCACCCAATGTGATAAGTTGACCAATGCAGTCTTTTCTTTTTCTGGAAGTATAATTGTAGCAGTCATTATGCTATTAGCATTTAATAATATAGCCTCAGGGCTGCTTCTTCAAAATTATTTATATAATTGGAATTTCATATTCAAATCTGGGTGGGTATTTCATCTGTGTTAGGCAGTTTTCAGGCATGCAAACGAGGCCCAGAGAATTGTAGCAGGCTGTTGCTAAGAAATCCTTGACAAGAAAGTGTAAATCTAACAAAACCTTGGAAACCCCATAACCATTATGTTCCTTCACAGAGTCTTGTGATGGTTCAAGGTCTTTGATTTTCAAAATACAAAGAACTTTAACATTTTCTTGAATAAGGCTGAAACATTCAAAGCACTTACCTTGTGGTTTTGATTTTGGGTTTTTACTGGGATTTCAGAATCTTATTATTGTTTCAATACTGTGTTTCATGTTGCTCAGACTGGCCTCAAATTCAGTGTGTAGCTTAGGATGACTATGAACTTCTACTCCTCCTTCTAAGTACTGGAATATAGGCATTTGCCATCACATCGAGCAGAGTTGTATCATACTAGAGCTTGAAAACACAGAGCTTTGTGCATTCTGGGCTAACACTCTATCGACAAGCTACATTTCCAGCCAAGTGCTTCTTGAACATTGTATCTTGATAAAATCTCTCCAAGATCAACCCTAACTTCAAGGCATGGAGTATTTGTTTTTCTGTTTCACAGGTAATATGTTGTCTTTGTAAGCAGTATTTACTCAAATAATGTTGACACAAATGTAGTAACTTGAAAATTGTCTTGATGTGTTTAGGATTTAAGCACGAACCACTTACAGTCTTCCCCTGAATAGAGTGTCACTGGCTGAGGCTCAGGCCCAGAGCCAAGTTGATTAATGGCTTGAACTTGGACATCATAAGGAGCATAGACAGTAGGTGTCATCACACGCAGTGTGTGGTTTGTGACTGTTTCTTCCTCCCATTCCTCTGGTGCTCCCTGGGGCTTCCAGCTCACTCTATACTCCAGTCCTGGTCCATTTTGCTCCATGGATTTCAAAGGCTGAAATAGAAATCAAGGCTCATTTTATGCACTTGTAGATATGTTGATCTAAAGATGGCAATGACTCATTTTAAAGAGTATAACACTAACTGAAAAAAGAAAATAGAGATTTTAACTATGTTCCTTGAAGTCAGAAGCACTGTTGCCTTTTATTAGTTTAATTTTCCACATCAGTCTTCTACCATCCAAAGACATGGGTCACTTTAGAAGCCTGAATTATACACATGTGGAGAAACATGAATGTTCACAGATAAAATAAATTACAAGTAGATTGTAAGTAGTATTTTAGGTTTTCTCAAACTTCTGCTATATGATACATTTTATTTTCTACCAAAGAAACAGAAACTATGTGGCCATGCACTCTTGGGTCATGGCTTCTCAGGCAGAATACTTTACTCCACAAAATTCTTTCCCATTTTCCATTAAAAACTATAGTTGGGAAACATCTTTAATTTTGGAAAATGGACACTTGTATAGAAAGGAGCAATAAGCAATACTTGCTCTTTTAAATCAATCAATACATTCTCAGCTCTCTGACACAAATGGCTATTATACTTACTTTATTTTGTCATATAGAAAGGTTTTGTGGAAGAATTTTTGATTTTTTAAAATTAGAAATTGGTTATTTCCACTTTAGTTTTTCATTTAGGGAAACCTTGAAGAAAAATAATTTGGTCTAAAGCACCAATTTAATTTACAAATGGGTACTTTATTTAAATGATCCAGCTATGTCTATAAAATATTCACTTAAAATGAATTTTCATCCTATCTTAGAAGCTAATTTATATTAAGAGTAATTTTGTCTATGTATTTGGGTGATTAAATGTGGTATAAAATATTCTTGTAGCATTTGCTATGCTTCTTAATTCAGTACAACTGGCTAAAATACTTATTAGAAGAATCTGTTGGAATTACATTGAAAGCAAAATGCTCTATAAGCAAACCATCTTAATTTTGTATTTATTCCAAAGTGACTGCTTAAACTAACTAGGAGAAAAAACATCAACACACACACACACACAAAAAAAAAAAGGCCAGGCGTTGGTGGCATACACCTTTAATCCCAGCACTCAGGAACCAGAGGCAGGGGGAGCTCTGCCTCTGGCCAGCCTGGTCTACAGAGTGAGTGCCAGGACAGGCTCCAAAGCAATACAGAGAAAACCTGTCTTGAAAAACCAAAAACCAAAACCAAAAACAAAAAACAAAAAACAAAAAAACAAAAAACACCACCAATAACAAAACAATGTCTCTTAAACCGGGCATGATGGCAAACACCTTTAATTCTAGCTCTCCCAGAAAGAAAGGAAGGCAGTCTCTGTGAGTTCAAGGCTTGTCCTTGGTCTACAGGGTAAGTTCCAAGACAGTCAGGTTTGTTACACAGAGAAACCCTGTCTTGAAATATCAAATAAATAGATAGATAAATAAATAAATAAATAAATAAATAAATAAAATGGCTCTTAATTCCCAGAATGTTTTGTTTGCATATATTAGAAAGTATCACTCAATATTTCAGTATAATATGGTATTGATTTAAATTCTTAAATTCACTAGGCACCTGACATTATCTAAATACATTAGACTATGAACATTTTTGAGGATTTATTTAAATTTTAATTACTTTCATGCTGTATGTCTGTGTGTAGGTGTGTACAAATGAGTGCAGGTGCCCATGAACTCCAAAGAAGTTATTGGATCCCTGGAGTTGAGGTTACAGCATGTTGTGGGACATCTATCCTGGGTGCTTGGGAAAAAATTCAATCTTCTTTTATAGACAGTATATGTGCTCTTAACCACCAAGACAACTCTATAGTCAATGATACAAGCTTTTAGAAAGTACAAACAAGAATTGTATTTTTCCTTACTGACAACAAATATTTAAAATTAATGTTACTCAGTTTGATCATATTTTGCTCCAAGCAAAGGCAAGTTTAGTAATGTTGTCTGACAAGTTTTAAACTGTGCCAGTGTTAAGAATAATTACTTAGTTATTTTGCCAACTCTTTGGTCCCTGGATTTCAGAAGGAATTTTGTGTTTTGCTTTGAGGCAATAGTCAACAAGACTTCAGTAACGTCAAATAGCATAATGAAAGCTAAGTCTCAGAAGAGCAAAGATGAATTAGGCCAAGAGACCATTAGCCTTCCATTTCTCCTCTGGCCCTGGCCACAGTGAAAAGATTTATAGAAAGACACTATTATTTTAGGGATGGAAGAATCCCCAGAAATCCTATGAAGGAACTGAGAAGCCTATGCTATTTTTAGCAAGACAGAGATAGTGTGCATTTGTTGAATATGTTTACACTGTAGACTAAAAAAATGGTAAAACTATATAAGTTTTCAATGTGTCATGCAAATGTATTTTTGTGTGGTGAGAATAGTTAAATTTCTTCCTTCTACCAATTTCTAAGAATACAGCACATTTTCTAAACAATGTTCACCATGATATTTCCTTAAAAGGAAACATTTAATTCTCTTTCATTTCATCTTAACTATAAGTGGATTCTTTTTCTGTGAAACATTCAATTCATATAATTAGACCTCTAGCATTTGGGAGTTAAATACCCTGATATGCCCATTTAAGTTAGCTATTGAAGAACTTCCTACTTCCCTACTTTAGCTTTGTTTCTGGGTGAATTTATTCTCCTGTTTGTTGTTTGGGTGTTATTTATGCATTTTCTTTGAAGTTAGTTATGTTATTGAAATAAATTTTAAAACTTATTTAAATATGCTTAGGAACAAGGAACAGAAGCTATTAAGCAAGAGCTATTTATTCTTTTTAAAATCCTTTTTTTGAATTCGAAACAAGATTGTTTTACATGACAATCCCAGTTCCCTTCTCCCTCCTGTCCTCCCCTACCACCCCCCAACTTAAACTCTACCTATCACATATCCTTTCTTCTATTCTTTCCCTGACTCATATTTAATCTAGATAAATTTATCAATCATTAAATCATTTCTCAGAATTAATCCCCGTTTTACATGCACTCATTTTGTTCGACTTTTGGTTCTTGGAATAGAGTCCAAGCTCTCATTCTTTCTAGGCACATTCTTTCTAAGCAGTGAGTTACATAGCTGATCCTATTTTACACCAAATTCTAGCCACTGTGTTCTTAAAGCATTGTTAATAAATCAAAATTTAGTTTTATTCCCCAACCTTATTTCATTGTTCTTAGAAAATACCGTTTCATCATTACAGTTAGCAAGCCTACTTAACAAGAATAAATAGTCCAGAGAAGCACATTAACACCTTAGGAAATACACACCTCCCATTTTATAATCATCTCCTTGGGTTGGGATGCTTGAACCCTGATGTTCTGTGGATTCTTGTCTGGAGCTAAGAAATGACAAACATTAAAAGTATTTTGACATTTTATAGTAAACAGTTGATCAAACAGCATACATATAACTCTACCCAAACACTCAAAAACCAAATAATTTGAATAATTTATTTATTTATTTAAATAAATCTCATTTCTATGAAGATGATATATTTTGTTAAATGGAGTAAATTAGCATTCTTAGAGTTCTATAATTGCTATGCTGTGGACAGTACATGATTTACTACATACACCTTAAATTTAAACCTGCTAATTAAAAATCTAATCCTGCTTTAATATACTTTTCATTTTCAAATTGTACTTTTCTGTCAGAAGTATTAAGAGATGCATAGACTGGCAATATATGTCCCTAGAAGAATGAAATTGAAATTCATGTATCAACATCATCAAGCAACTTTTATGGATATCAAATTGAAATAGCACATAATACACAGATGAAATACATTCAGGCAGATACATTTTATTAGAAACATTCTAACAAGAACTTTAACACTGAGTCCCTGAGTCCAATACAAACTAAAATCAGACAGGCACCATGATTATTTTACTCCAGGAAAAACGAAAACCATAATATGACCATGATAATACCTAATACTAATTCTGTAACATTTATTGTTTACAGTATCTCTTTTGATTATTCATAACATTATTCTGATGGTTTATTTATTTATTTAGCTATTTCAAACTATTCAGAATAGTATTTTCTCACATACCATGTGCCAATGACAATCTTTTTTATCAAACAAATATACAACTCAAAAATTTAAAATGCACTTCTAATATTTTACATTGCTAATTTAAGGAAATTTTCAAATTATTTGGAGGAATCTAAAATCTTCCATTACATGTTTGAGCCTTTTTTAAAAAAAGTGCTCCAACATAAAAATTGGGCTAATGTAAAATATCTTGTTATACAAAGAGACCATCCATACCTGCTGGTGGAGTTTCGTGATGGTCCGATGGCTGGCTGGGGTAACTTCTCCCCACTTCATTCACTGCTATGACTCTGAACTGATATCTTACATATGGAGCCAAAGATAACACAGCCTCTGTTTCTTCTCCTGGGATTCTAGTTAGCTCCTGCCACTTCCCAGGTTCCTCTCTGTTGCCTTCAAATTCTATAATGTACTCTGAAGTAAGAACATGAACAAACCATTAGAGCATATTGAATTTGTTCATGGGCTACTAATATTTATTTGCAGCATTAAAAACTTAAAACAGAGGTGGGTGTTAGTGGCACATGCCTTTAATCCCAGAACTCAGGAGGCCGAGGCAGGCAGATCTCTGTGAGTTCAAGGCCAGCCTGGTCTCCAGAGTGAGTGCCAGGATAGGCTCCAAAGCTACACAGAGAAACCCTGTCTCAAAATACCAAAAAAAAAAAAGAAAAAAAAAACCTTAAAAACAGAAAATTAAGGCAAATGATATTAGGACTGACAAGACAAATTTTTCCTTGAAAACTTGAAGCTTTGTGTTCATTTCTCAGAACCCACATAAAAAGCTGGTAGCATGCATTTGTAATCAGTAAGGGAATGGTAGAAATAAGAGGTTCCTAGGCAGCTAGCCTTGTCTATTTGATAAGTCACCAGCCAATAAAATGTCCTTTCTCAAAAAATAATCAAACAACCCAAAAGGTTACCAGTATTAAGGAATGACACAGAAGGGTGATTTCTGACCTCCATACATGCAGGTACACACAGGTGTACACATGTACTCATGCACACCTGTATACACAGGAACTCATACACAACAAAATATACAACAAAACAAGAAAAAAAGTTGAAGAAAAAAAGTCATGTCACTTACAGGAAAATGAAGAAAAATGGAGAAAATAACCTTCATTAAATTAAGCCAGTCTCAGGAAGACAAAAAATATCTGTCCATTTTAATTTGCAGTTCTTGGGTTTTATATAAACACATAAAGCCATGTACATATATGTGACATGTAAATACAATTAAATTTGCCAAGCTAGATATGACAAAATGGTAGATGGGGAGTAGAAGGGAGGTTAGGATAATATAGGATGTATGGTCAACAATACAAACTTGTACAAAGACTTAAGTTTACAAGAGTATATTAAGAAGGTTAATCCAGGGGCTGGAAAAATGGCTCAACAGTTAAGCGCACTTGCTGTTCTCACAAAATACTCAGGTTCATTTTCCAGCACCCACATGGCAGCCCACAACCATCTGTAATTCTAGTTCCAGGATATAAAATGTCCTTGTTTGACATCCTCAGGTACCTCACTCATGTGGTACACAGACATATAAGAAGATAAACACACATACACACAATAATAATAATAATAACACACGAATCTAATTTAAGAAGAAGGATAATCTACCAATGGTAACTAAAATAGCTATGATATTAATTTGACTCTGTTGGGTAAAGACGAATGTCACTTAAAGCCTTCCTACCACTGATATTGCTGTTATGATCATCTCCAGCTTCCCAGGACAGCCGGACACTCCTGTTTTGTCTTTCTGACAAGAGAAGGGATCCTGGAGGATCTGGAACACCTAATCAATAACAAAAGATAGCTGTCACACGATAGTGAACAGTTTACAGGAGAAATGAGGACGCTGGAGCAGATATGGTTCCATCTGGCAGGCACCACCTATTTCAAGCCGAGTTCAGCTTCCTGGGAGGAATTAATAGTCAAAGCTTCCAGGGTATCTGTCCCCACTCCACTCTGATGACAGATGCACCTGGATGACGGTAAAAAATAGTCCTTTTATACACTTAGGATACTTTAAGGTTCACAAAGCACATTTTCATGTTTTATTTATTTATTCTTCTCTTATACAATACATCCTGTTCATGACTTCCCCTCCCTCCATTTCTCCCAGTTCTGTCTCAATCTGTCTTCCATCTCCACCAGACCCACACCCCAATCATCTCCCACCTCTTTCTGTGTTATTTTATGTCGTGAGAGTGTTTGCCTCTCAGTGAGGCCTAAAAATAACAATAAAATATCAAGACACTACATGATATGGGATGACCTTTTTTGTATGCTGTAAGATGGGTCTTTGCCAAGGTGCCTTCTGATCAATTTAATAAAGAGCTAAATGGCAGAAGAGGATCTGTGTGACTTTCAGGGTGAAAAAAAGAAAGAGGAGATGAATCTGGACATGAGAGAGATGCCAGAGAGAGACATGGAGGAAATAGGACATGCACATTGGAAGAAAAGTAAAAAGCTATGTGGCAGACTGTAGATTAATAAAAGCTGGTCCATTTAAGTCATCAGAGTTAGGAACAAGTCTAAGCTAAAGGCCAAAATTTCATAGTTAATAAGAGGTCTTTATGTCATATCTGTGGACTGGTGGTCCAAAGAAATTCAGATGAGAAAGCTTGCTACAACTGCCTGAGAATATGTCCAAGCTCAGCTGGCATGCCACTGTTTCTTCATAAACAAACATGATCTTAAAGCTTGGCATAGAAACAAATGACAGCTATAAAGAAAGTACAGACTGCTGCTTTGTTGCCCTGATTCCCATGCTCGGAGACTTCTGAAATCTCTCTTCCTTTCTGAGACAGCTGAGCTGTATACATCTTGGCAGCCCCAGAGCTTCTATTTCCAAATGAGGCCTTCTTCATACCCATTTCCTTTTTAGCCATAGTAGTTCTCAAAAGGCCATGCTTGACTGACAGGCCATAAAAATGTCTGGAGAATTTTTAACAAGGAATGTCACCTGTTCTTCATCTCTGGTTTACTGAAGTAGAGATGCTCAGATTAGGCACTTGCAAACTTCTTACTTACATGATAATTTTGCATGGTCAGGTTTAAGAGATATGATGGGTCTTTAGTAGATCACTGATTTCCTCCAGTTCATTCTGTTCTAGGTGCCCTGCTATCTCCTTTGTGGGATTAAAGTATCTCTAAGAGGAGGGATGTCTTATTAATCTTTGTATTGTTCACAGTGCCTTGCACATAAGTGTTTTGTGAGTAAATGAGAAAGTGAAATATATATTGTCACTTCAATCATGCATATAATCATTCTATTAAATTAATAAAATTATGCCCTATGGTCATAGATAAACAAGACAGGGACTGTGAGCTTTGCATGGCTCTTCTGCAATTGATTTGGGATTTTACCGTAATTAATGACAATCAAATCTATGCATGTTACAACATCTTTTATAGGATGGCCTGGTTTCTACAAAATGTGGGAAATATTTTTATAACAGAAGATGCATATTGAGCAATGGCAAATATAACAGGAACTGATAAATCAAAGCCACTGACAAACATATAATTGTTAAGGTACATGAATATTTCTGATATATTTGAGGGTATGTGTGTCCATGGTAAAAAGGAAATCTTACCTTAAATAAACTTTCAAAATTTGCTCTAATATTCTCAAGTATTCAAGGACATATGCTTTAGCTTGGAGGAGGCAGTAAAGCTGTTGTCCATGCTGGCATTTACTATTTGTCAAATTCTTGTGAAGTGTACATTGACAAAAAGCATTGTTTACAATTCAGAATGCAGCATGCTTGACTTTTAAAGTTCAGCATATGACTCTATTCAAAGATCAGGTACTTCAATAAGAAAGCATTTCCCCAGCATAGGACTTCATGATTAGATAGCTTGCCAGGGGTACACAACAGCATAGTTTTAGCCCAGTCCTCCCTCCCCACAAATTGCATTTATTCAATAGTATCCTACATTTGTGAGCTTAGACAATTGACTTTTGTCTTTGGGATTTACTCAGAATCCAATATGTCCTGAGGTTTCCTTGCCCATCCCAATTACCGTTTCACTTGAAATGAAAATCTGACTTCTTCAAACATCACATGGCACCAGAAGAACAAACACTTGGAAAACTGTTTCTTAAAATATACTTTGAATATTTACTTATTTATTATTTATTTAATATGCATATGGACTACTACCTGCATACATGTCTTCACTGCAGGCCAGAAGAGGGCAACAGATTTCATTACAGATGGTTGTGTGTCACCCTGTGGGCACTGGGAATTGAACTCAGAACCTCTGGAAGAGCTGTCAATGCTCTTAACCACTGAGCAACCTTTCCAGTACCTCTTAAAATATTTTATGCTAAAACTTCTAGAAACAACTTCTAAGGAAATTTATTTATGTCTAGGCTTTTAAAATATTGTTTTCTAGGATAGAATGCTTTAGAAGCTATGTGCAAAATCATTGTATCAGTTATTGATATGTTTTAATCAGATACTAAAACTAAAAATTATAACTTAAAACCAACGAAGCAGTTTTAAAAAACCCATCCCATCTTATCCAAAATTCTTCAAACATTACTAAAATGTTAGATTACCATGTACACAAACAGTATGTATGAACATAGCCACTGTTTATTTAAAATTACCAAAATTTCATGGAGCTAGAAAATAGAAGACTAATCATAAAGGTGAATTTTAAAATTTGCAATGAAATTCAGAAGGTGGGTGCCAACAGCAGAATGCTGCTCTTTTGTTGCTACCATCAATCAAAATACTGAACAGGAAAGCTCATGTGCCCAGATGTTCTGTATTCATGGTGCCTGAGATGCAGCAAAGCTCACCAGATGCTCAGCTTCTATAACTTGCAAATGCTGCTGGAATAGCTAATAGAAGATTAAATATTTCCACTTGCAGAGCCCTGAAGAAGCTCACTTACCTAGAGCTGAACATCTCATGCCAAATCTAAACCTTCTACAATATAGGCTGTACTTAACTGTACTCAACTTAGTAGCTATTGGCTTCATATACAGGAATTCAAGCTTACTCACTTTCCACAGATGGAAATTGTTATGCTATCTGTAGCTGGCAGGGTCATAGGTAATATTTAGCTCATTATAGTGGGAAATTCCAGTAGGTGTTAGCAGGAAGAACTGCTTAAATGCATGTGGGAAGAATATCCAGAACCTGTTTTGAAGTTGGCTTGAAATTCTAATGGTGGGAGTTTCTCTTCAGAAGGAATAGTGTAAGAAAACTTTCCTGGAGGAGCTATGACCTTGGCAGTGAGATTCAGCAAGCCTATATATAGGGAGAGAAGGGGTGTGAACACCCTCCACACTTCTCAAGATGCTGTCTGTACCTGTAGTAACAAATAAAAGCTACAGCTTAAATGGTTTGCTGGTGTTGTCTGTACAGGGCAGGTTTACAGGGAGAAGAGCTGGTGGTGAGTTAATAAAGAAAAGCAATTGGAAAGCAGCCAGCAGATGGTCTGAGGGCTATAAACACTGATGATTTCAGGGCTAATTGCATTGATTGCACTAGTGAAGTGTGCACACTATTTTCCAATTAGTACTTAAAAATTCAAATATATTCCTTTACAGAATACTTGATGCCCATGCTCAACTTCCTGGGGCCCTTTGTAGAGCTGAAACACCAAGCAACCACCACTGGGCATTCCCATTCCTCAGGCTTCCATGGAGCCCTTTCCTATTCTCAGACCCACTTCTCTGAACAGTGGTAATGGGTGGATTGAGACCTTTGTTTTTCTTTCCACTGCCAGCATTACTTATCTCCTGCTGCTACTGGCAAACTTCCCACATTGAGAAAAGAAATTAAGCATTAATTAATTATTTTTATGTGAGAAGAGTAGAAATGATTTAAAGCAAAGTTGCATTTCCAACAAACAAAAATCAAATTTTACTTGAAGAGCAGAGGCTCCAGAAATCATTGGTTTTAACACCTAGAAACAAAGGAAGTTAAGAAGTCACAGGGAGCATGCACAGAGATTCTCTCTGTTTTCACTTACCAAGGACGGTTACTTGAGTTTTCTCTGAAATGCTATCAAGAGCAGTTTGAGCAGAACAGGAATAAATACCCTGATCTTCTACTGAGATGTTAGATATGGTCAGATTGGCTCCATCAATCACTATTCTGTGGTCAGGGGTGTGGGGGGAGCAAACACAAAGTACATGATGAGGCTAAGAACATCTCCAACAGCAGAAATACCATCCTTTAACAAGCCATGATGCAAGTTTCTTCATGGAAAATGATTCAAGGCAGAGTGAAGAAACCAGTTCATACAATGCAAATGTTAACAGAGAGGGTCACAGGTGAAAACTGGGAATACAGTCTCACAGTGTACACATATAACTACACAGCATTAAATGGGATCACATTTTTGCAAATTACAAAATCCAACCATCTATGACCCATGGGGATGTGACAGAGGTCAGGGCTGCCTGCCATGTTTAAGAAGCACCTCATACCAACAGAGCTAGCATTATTTTTGCTTGTTTTTGGCTTTTAGTATTTGAAGACAGGGCTTTTCTGTGTAATCTTCTGGCTTCCAGGTTGTCCTGGAACTCTTTCTGTTAACCAGGCTGGCCTGGAACTCACAGAGATCTATTGGCCTCTCCCTCCTGAATGCTGATGTTTACATAATTATTATGTTATGAGCAGGGAGCATTATACAGAATCAAGGAGGATGCTTCTGAAAAAAAGAAGACTCTAGAACCCAACCCAGTTCCACAGAGCCAGTATAGTGTGATGAAGTCTGACAGTATCTGTTTTGTTCTTCGGCAGCCCTCTACCAGTTAGTTTCCATATGTAATAATTGAAGCATTTAGTGCATTTGAACACTAGGTGGCAGTCCCGCACTTCTTTCTGCAAATTGTTTCCTTTGCTCTTCAAAATTCATTTCTACATAATTGGCCAGTTTGCAATATTGCAATAGTTGCTCTCTCTCTCTCTCTCTCTCTCTCTCTCTCTCTCTCTCCCTCTCTTCTCTCTCTCTCTCTCTCTCACACACACACACACACACAAAAAAAAAACACTCCTTTATCAATTTTATTTTTTAGCCTACACTTATAGGCATATTATCAACAGGAATCCTCATATGTTTACATAAAGTACTACTAAATCTAAAATATATTCACAGTAAAAGCTATTCAGGTGAAAAAATACTGTAAGCAATGCCTTCTTTGTGAAAAGGGTGACACTCTTACATAATTGAAAAATTTAATGCTAAATTGATAATATGAAAAGATTTGAATGAGAACGAATACTGAATTGTATGTGACTGACTCTTGACTGGAGGTAGTGCCCCTCAGTCTTGCATCAGTTTTTATGAATATTTGTCAGTCAGTAGTGGTAGTTAGTGGTGAGGAAGAATCACACTAGAATAAGTTAGGGGTCACGGCTAAAACTAATACCCTTGCATAAAAAAATGGCACTTGTACACATTCATAGATATGAAAACAATGAGATCAATGAAGTGAAAGTTGTGAAGGAAGCGGCTTAGAGAAATGATGAACAAATAGTCTGAAAAAGAACAGCGAACCATGATTTGTTGCTTGTATTTTCTAAGATCATCAAATCTTAATTTACAATACTCTTTTGGCCCAGCTTTTTAATTCTTTTTCATCTTGTTGTGTTATAAAAAGTAGAGGTAGAAAGATATGAAAAAGACTGTCTGAGGGCGCCAATCCATTAAGTGCCAGCATTGGGATTTGAACACCACAAGTCTGAGTCTATTCTTTTAACCAAGACTCTGCTGAGATCTCATTGAAAGAGAGCTTGGGCTATCTCCAGAACGTCAGAGTTACCATGCTACTTGAGATGACATTTGACTTCTATTTTTATGGTGTTTTATTTATTTATTATAAGTACAGTGTTCTGCCTGAATGTATGACTTCAAAATGATAAATTCCTAGCTCTCACTTAAAGACAATACACGCAGAAGCAGAACAGTCCTTTGTGTGATTTAACAGACAAAGCAGGCATTCTGACTCTTCTGATTCTACTGGGTTCTATTAATCCCTTTCTCTTTTTGTTGTACTAAAACTCCAGTGATTCTCAGCAGTCATTCAAACTTTACTCTTTGCTCCATCTTTTGTATTTTTCCTATTCAGAATACTCAGAAATGCATATTTATTATATATATATATATATATATATATATGTGTGTGTGTGTGTGTGTGTGATCTAGATTCATAGATTCAATTGATTATGAATGGACAATATGTTTTAGATTTGCATCTGCACCAAACAGGTACATTTTTATTATTATTCTCTTAGTCACACCATATAATGATTGTTTGCTGAGCGTCCACAGTGTCTTGAGTATTAAATGCACCATAAATATAGCCTACGTCATAAATAAGTGCATGAGATTCAAATAGAACATATTTTTATAGAATGCACTTAACCACACAGATTTTGGTATCTAAGATTCTGAAAGATACTCTTATATATAGAAGGGCCAGGTAATGTTGGCAATATGTTATGACAGGAAGATAACTAGACATGACTGGGATGTTTATGGGTGAGAAGCACTCGTATGGGATTGGCAGGTAGAAGGGACCGAATGCTGCCTTTTTAGGAAGCTGTATGAACAGTGATTCTGGCAGACAATGGGGTAGCAACAGTTGGTCTGTCCTGTAGCATACAGGGGCAGGGTGTCTCAGGAGGAGGCAGAAATTTTCAGATACCTGGACCACAGACATACTGCCCATGAGCAAGATACTACCCCCCCAAAAAAGAAACAGTTAACAACACCCTTTACATCTTGCTCTTCCAGTCCTCTCAATAGTTCTGGATGCTTCTAAAGTTATGCAGTTAATATCCATCTCACAACTGATTTCTATTTCCTGTGCTGAGAGGAGAAACCAAGCTTTACAAAAAGTAAGGTGCAAAAGCAAGAGGAAGAATAAGAACATATAAAATAAACAGGAACAAACATTTTAAGACCCTCTGAATACTTATTTGATGAAGAAACATTTGAGTCAGTTTGTGTACTTTAATGCAGTGTGAACAATTTTCAAACTTTTTATATTTTTTTAATGTGAGGTCTTACACACACACACACACACACACACACACACACACACACACACACACACAAATGTCCTTTCATAGCAGAGTACTTACCGGCCATCTTCAGTGCCATTAATGTCAAAAGTCTCTCCATCTTTACTCCAGGACAGCTTCAAAGTGTGCTTCAAATGTGAGTCACATTGGCTTTCACAGTGTAGTTCAAGCATGTGTGATTTAGGGATGCGAGGATTCTTTGGGGAAACCTTCAGCTTTGTAGCATCTGCATGTTTTCCAGGCAAACAAAGGTCTTAATTAGAACTACAGAGCACTGCTCACCCTGTTATTAAATGTCTGCAACCTAACCAATCAAAATTGTCATGACAATGAGAAATTTACATACAAAGTATCCCATCGTAATTTTCTAACATTAAACCAAAGGAAATTTAGGTGCAATCACCACTTAATGTTAGCAAAGTTTTCCTACCATCCCTTGCTACAGCAAATACAGTGTGAGCTAAAAAATGTTTCTAGAAGTTGAAAGTAATACAATTTTTCACTCTGTAGCATCCAAATACACACTCATGTTATAAGGAAAATTGGCAGGGTAATTGATTTTATATTTATATACTTAATATTAAATCAGAAACATGAGCTGAAATAAATGGTGAAGCCCTGGCATAAACACACTATCCATACAAACATGGAGGATAAGACATAAGCCCTGCACAAAGGAGACCTGCACGTGTTTTCTTACTCAGAAATGCTCCCAGAGCTTAGGAGGGAGGACTCTGTGAACATTCAACATTTACTTGTGGCATATCTTGCTGAATGAGTCAGGGGCCATAATAAAAATTTAGGACAAAAGCAATTGTTACTATCAAAACGATGAAGTTCAAAGATTAAAAAAATTAAAATAAGAACATCACTGAAGCCTGAGTCTGTCAGCAGCTTCCAAGGACTTCAGTGACGAGGAAAGCCTGCTGACAAGGATGTTTCTAGTTTAAAGAGAACAAGGAAAGCCTGGCCAATCTGTCAAACTGTTTTTTTCTTTTTCTGAGATCAAACTTCTATGATTTTGTTAATGTTCAAACAAAACTGATGCTTGATAATACCTCAAGTTCAGTACTTGAATAAAATGTAGATCTGAAAATATACCCAAAAAGGAAGTTCTTAAGCTTGATGGTCATCTACCACTAACAATACAAGGCCACCTGCTAAGATGGCCCAAACCCATGAACACACCCAGCCATTCTACCAATAGTCTTTCAGATACAATGCAAAGGAGGCCTTTGAGAAATTGTCAAAGGAACTTCAACAGGTGCTCAAAACATAAACAGCACCGTATTGTCTGAGAAAACAGAGAGAAACTGAACTCATGTGAGAGCTAATGAAAGCAAAAGCAAAATAACAATACTTCTAATATCCAAGTTGGCTGTGATGACAGCTTTTCCCATTGCATTGTCTACCCAACAAGAGTACGATCCAGCATCTTCCTCAGTAGTTCTGTAGATTTCCAGTGTGCCATTTTCATGGGTATGGTACCGACTACCTTCAAGGGGATGTGCTTCATCAGCCACTTCCCTGTGGAGATGCAGAAATGAGTCATTTTGGATTGGGACACAATTTGGACTCTTTTAGATACTGTTCACTGACATCATCCAGGCTTAGGCCTTCTTTGCGTGCTTGGTAGAGCATCTGAAATGTTCTTGTGGAAACTGTTTGCTCTCTTAGAACTATCCAAGATGTGTATCAGAGCTGACCAACAGACTATAGCTAAAAAGAACTGCATTCCTTCGTCGTATAGTTTCCTCTATCTGTCTCATAGCTTCTAGCACTGCTTTACATGTGTCCTCAAAGCTTAAGAAATATTTTCTGGCTTATTAATGGTGAAGTCCTTAGTTAATGATTGCTTCAGGCTAGCAAATGGGAAAGCTAGTAATTGAAACAGATAATGAACCTTCCCAACCTCCCGCTGTCCTAGGAGAACATTGGTCATTGGGAAATATTACAGGCCAGGAAGTCTTGCCTCTCCTGTGGACATGCATTACACTTACCCTATCAACCTCAGGCTCATTTTCTCCCACATTCATCCATTCTCCAAGCATTTTATGTCACAGCCTGATTAACCCTGTGCATTTCACAGTAAGTGATTGCTTGTGCTCACAATTGCTGAGGACAAATGGGCCACTGGCACAGGTATTACAAAGTGAGGGCTAGGCTGAGAAGTGCATGGGACTTGCCTCAGATGCAAAATTCAAAAGCATTTAAGAAATCAAGATAGACAATATCTTAATCAAATATTTTTAAAAGTCAAAACCAAAAACACACAATGGGAAAAACATCACAACTGAATTACACAAGTTGTGATTCTGATTTTGCATGGCCTGACATCCCTACTTTGTTCTTACTCCAGGCGCTGTAGATGACTAACACAATAATGTCACAATAAAGTAACCAAACTCTATCAGCAAAGCAACTAACACAGCAGATGCTTGGGGTGTTATGTTTACACTTAAACAACAATAACATTAAAATCAAAATGAATGTTAGCAAAGTCTAAAAATATGCCTGCAATTGACTGTGGGTTAAAATAAATAATCAGATAGCCCGGGAGCCATAGCAGCCCTTAGATAGACCCATTACAGACAAAACAATCTTTAAAATTGTCTTAGGAATCATTTTAATTATTTGTTTGCTTTATTAACACAAATGGCTATGTATATTGTTTCATGTAAAGAAAAATCCCAGAATTCTAGTCAATGTTTTCAGGAGACATGTGTAATTAAATCTCTTTCCTTATTTCTCAAGGCATTGGCTCTCTGTAGCAACATAGATACAGGACAGGCTGCCAAATGGTGGCTCAAGAATCCCCCACATCCATTCCCTTAATGGAACAGCAAGTCATCTTACCAAATCACTGTGGCCTTGGGTGAAGCAAAGTATTCACAATGTAAGAAAGCACTATACCCAAGCACTGTTGCATAATTTTCTTCATTCTTAGTTTTTATCAGTGGGACAACATCTAATCAGAAATAAAGATAAGATTTTAAACCTTTCTGCAAGCATTAGGTAAAATGGACATTTTCTATATCCTTAACATAGTCATAAAAATAGACGATGGCTGAACATTTCAGTACATATTCCTGAATTTGAGTATTATCTAAAAGCAGCACATTCTCAAAGCATAATTTAAGTGTGAGGTCCAATGTCTACATATAAAGCGAACTGTATTTTGGTCTTCTTCCTCAAGTTTTATGTGTCAAAAATCCAGTTGGTACTTCAGACTGGAGAGATAGTTCAGTCAGTATCAATAGGTATCCCTGATGCTCATTGGAAAACAACTCAAGGCTACCTCCTAAGTTCCAGACCTGTGAGGAAGCTTGCACCTGAGGAATGTTACCTGAGGTTGTCTTCTGGCCTCTACATGAACACAAGCATGTACATTCCCACACTGAATTTAATTCACACACCCATAAAAAGCTTGTGCTTGTGACTATAATTTAGAGCATTTTCCTTTGCCAAATAGCATGTGAAGTCAAGACTCAGGTATGCTCACCTACAACATCAATATTGGCACTGGCAAGGATTGTTCCATGGATATTTGAGGCTTCACATTGATATACAGCAGTATGATTTGGTTGTAGATTTGTAAAACTGATTTCCCTTGTGAACATGACATCACCCGGAAATGGATGATCTGAAAGAGAAAAGAGAATGTCAGTATGATAAAGAACAGAATATAAAATATTTAAGAAACATTTATTAGATGTGTCACACAGTATCTATATTTTAAGACCAGTTTAGGGTGAAAAATAGTTCACTAAAGTCATGTGTTCACACTTTGCTCAAACCGACATGGGTGCCATTTCAGACCCTTTTGCATTTACAACATATTTTCAAATTATGCTTTCAAATAAATATTATGAGAGCCCAGGTTGCCCTACAACTCACTGCCTCTTTGTGTCCCTGATCAAAGTAAGATTGGAAGTGACCCATTTGTCATCTGAGTCCTTCTGTGAGAGGACTCAAACTCCAGCATCTGTACCTGGATGTTACCCAGTGCATAGCAACACAATAGAACCCTATGGGTCCCAGTTTCTACCTTGACAACATTTTTCCTGGTTTCTTTTTCCCCCTTCCTTCTATTTTTGGATTTATGCCATTATTTTGTGTGCTTTTCATTATTATTTAGCCATTTCAAGTACGTAGCTTGCAAGCCTTGACCCTTCCTTCCACCCTTCCTTTCTTCCTTCCTTCCTTTCTTCCTTCCTTCCTTCTTTTCTTTCTTCTTTCATCATACTCTTCCTCTTCATCTTCTTTTTGAGAGTAGTTGCCATTTCTACAACATTTTAGCAACAAAATTTAGCCTATTTTCTATAATGATCTGTTTTTTTTTCTCCCTTATTTCTGAAGTTAACTCCAGGGTATTTACTCACATCTGAAGATCTGGAGAAAGAGTATGTGGAGTTTATCCTTCTGGGTCTGGGTTACATCACTAAATATCACATTTTCTAGTTACATCTATTTACCCTAAATTTCATGTCTCATTTTTCTTTACAGATGAATAGTATAACTCTGGTATATATGCAACATATTTACATAATCCATTTATCAGTTGAAGTGCATTTAGTTTGTTTACATTTCCTATCTATTTGTGAATTGAGGTCTGTTGTGTGCTATTTCAATCACATTCTAATAATAAAGCTTGCTTTGAATCAGAGTGCAGAGCTAGTCACTAGCTGACCAAAATTAAACATAGAGGTTTTGAAGGACTGAGGACAGATAGAGTGACAGAAGTAGTAAGGCAGGGCTTAGAAAGGCCCTAAGCCTTTTTGGATAGAGGAACAGAAGAGATAGGAGGTCACTGGTCACTTCTCTGCTGCTTTCCTGCCACTTCTCTGATCACTCAGATTCTTACCCTGATATCTGACTCCCAATTTTTTATTGATAAGAAATAACTAAATAAATGCTTCAGGGATCAGTCTTATAAACATGTTCAAGAACTGAATAGACTCAATATCTTGTATTTGTATGTCTGTTCTTGTGTGCGCGCGTGTGTGTGTGTGTGTGTGTGTGTGTGTGTGTGTGTGTGTGTGTGAGTGTGTGTGTGTATAACACTAATGACTAAAGACCAATAATGGCTAAAGCAGCTGAGAATTTAAGAAGGAAAGTCCAACAAAAAATTAGAGGGAAATGATGCAATTAAATTTTAAAAATACATTAAAACATACTATTGATCCAAAATGTAATTATCTGTTGAAAAGTAGAGTACCTGGCATTCTTGTGTACTTATTAAGAGCCAAAGAATTCCACTGGATATAGCCCATGCATTATGGCACTGTCACTGTTCATAATCTGCTATAGCAGCATTTTACAAGGCTTTGTAAACATCACTTTCACATAAAATGAATATCCTATAGAGCACCTGGCAACAGTTTGGGCTCTAAATAAACTTCTGCTTTGATACAACAGAAAGAAAAAAAAGTGATTAGGATTGTTGAGTGAGGGATAATGATTGCAGAAATTGCAGTTTAAATGACATCAATAAAACATTTTTTTCTCCTTGTATTTCCATCATCTAAAATAACAATTGCCTTTAACTTCATGGTGTAACAAACAAGAACTGCTACATAGTGGGAGATTTTTGTATACGTTCTTTTTTTCTCACACTAGAACCATAGCACATGCATTCCTTCAGTCAGCTGCCATGCCTGTATCTGTGCAGATGTAATGTGTGCTTGCTACTAACATCCAAAGGGCAGGCATAACAAAGCAGTGAGCAAATATTTGTGGAAGCATCTGAAATGAGTACTGAGGATAACATTTTATTCAGGAAAATTCCCAGTAAGTAGACAGAAATATAAGTTCTGATTTTCACTAATGGGATTATGACTATTTGCCTCAACTAGAAAAAAACACCAAACCACTCAGATGTTAATAAGACTGAGGACTTTGAGTTAAGGCAGTTGTGCTGTTATTCAAGTGGGCCCCATGTAACTACATTGCTTCCTGAAAATCAGAAACTCTTGTTTGGCTATAAAAACAGAAAATGGCCATGGTCACAATGGTGTTAAATATGAAGATGTAGGAAGAGAGCTATGGCCGAAGATTGTAGGCAGCCTGTAATAACTGAAAAGGAAATGAGATAGAAATAAAGAATGAGATGGGGTAACAAGGGAGAGGGAAAATGAGAGAGATAATTTTATTTCCTTGGAGAGAGTCTTCAATTGACCTCCTAACTTTCATAATTATACAACAGAAAAATTGTACTGGTTCCAGTGACCAAACTTCTGTGAGTTTGTTATAGCAACAAAAGAAAGCTAATATAAACATTTGATGTAATTTATTGGCTACCTATTAGGATTAACAGGATATGTATCCTTTTGAAGTTCTGTATGACAGAAATCATAAAGGACACTGTAAGGGATTAAGTCTCTGATGGCTTCCTTTATTCCTCTACTATTACACAGGCTGGCAAAGCTAATCTTGTCCTTCCTTATATCATGGGCCCCAAGGGCAGCTTTGAATAAACACATTACAAAATAATTAAGACCAAATCCTCATGTTAGGATGAAAAGCAACTAAACCATATGCAGCTATTCTTCTGGGGATGTATATGGAAACTTCACAATAAACTACATATTGTTAAAAGGTAATTGTTATAAAGTATAAAGATAACACAACTTTTCATAGTTATCTAACAAATATACCAGTCCTGACATAATCTCAGAATTCATTCTAGATGATTTTCTTTTATAAGGTCAATGAAAATAAAGACAATATGGTTGGAGTACCCACTACTCAAATTCACTCTTTTCTAGGTTCCAGCCTTCCATGAATTTATTTTTGTGTTGAGTCTTCAGGTAAATATTTTAACTAACAGGGGCCTCGGCCATTGCCTCTGAAAGGTGAAGAATAAAGCAATCTGGTTTTCCAAGGTTCTCTCAGAAATACTGGATGCCATCTCTATGGAAAAGGTGACAACCACTGTATTCACTTGGCTTAATTCTGAAATGACTCATAGGCAACATGACTTTCTAAAGGTGTGCAAGTCCAAAGAGTTTTCCAATACTGTCAGCCCAACAGTCCTCACATGGTGACCCTGTGGAATGCAGCAGAAGAAAGCTGTGCTCAAGAGCTGTGTTAACAGCACAGCCTGTTCTCCACCACAGGTTTCACTACTTTCTGGGTCACTGTCAATAGAGCTATGCACACTTCATCCACTAACAAGCCCATTTGGAAATATCCACTACCTGACCACTATGACAACCTGAGGCCTTGGTGTCTTTCCCCTTTTTGCAGTCACAGAGCTAATGGATTCATTCAGAAATGAGAAAATTCCTTTAACACATAAATTCCAAGGGCTGGGATACAGCTCAGTAGTAAAGCATCTATCAAAGTTTGCCATTGTATAACTATAAAGCTACCCTGTGTTTGAACTTTACACTCTCCTCAGTACCTAGCTATTTCCTTGTGTACAAATTTCTCAGCAACATGACCCCTTCCGACTTCATGTATTCTTTTATATTTTTATAACCCATTGAATCCAATCAGTACTATGCTTATTTACATGGGTGGGGTCTATCCACTGGAACAATTAGTGTTTTCTGTATGTACACAGGTGGGGGTTATCCAGTAGAGCATAAGCAACCTACCGGTGGCCATACACCGAAAGAAAAATGTCTCCTTTCATTCAGCATCCATCAAAAACAAATAACTCCTCAGCTAGAAGTGATGTCTCATAAAACACCCACACCAACCCATGCTGGAGTTTTGACTGATAGATTTCCTATAGTTAATAATATGTGCTGTGAGTTCATGAGCACAATGGCCACATCGTATCCAGAAGACAACATTTCATAGCACTCTTCCCATTCTGCAGCTCTTACATTGCTTCAGCTTTCTCTTCTGTGTTATTCCATGAACCATGGAGGCAAATATAGTGTCTCATTTATGGTTGAGGACTCACAGCTAATTATTCTCAGCACTTTGTCCAGTTATGGGTCTCTTTATTGACCTCGCTCTAACACAAAGAGAAACTTCCCTGACCAAGCCAAAGAGTAGCCCTAATCTGGGGATTTCACATTTTGTTGCCAGGGCCCACCCTTAGATTCTTCAATATCAGGTCAGGGATGCAAGCAGCAAGTACTAATTACTTCACTCTCCTGTATCTTTCTGCCAGGGTTGCTGTTATGTGCCACATTCTGTGCAAAACATTCTTTGAATAGTGTTTTCCTTGAGCCATATAACAAACCCACAAGTCACTGCTATTTTAATCTCTGTTTTGCTTCTGAAGAAACAGGTTTCAAGAAGGTAAGTCACATTCTCAATCACACAGCAAGTAAATGTTAGCATGGCCATGCAAACACAGGCAGTGCGGCTCCAGAGTTCATAAACCATCAGAGACCCCTGCAGATAAATCATGGCCAGAGACAGATAATTCATCTCCTGCAGACACTACCAACTGCCACCGCTTCCATTCTGCAGCATGAGAAACTCAGGCTTTTGGGAATTCATTGATGAGCTTGAGGCCATAGAACTAGCAAGAGTCACAGCCCAGGGAGGACTTAGGGTTGTCAATCACAAGGAGGCCTGCCTCCTATTGGGGGCCAGGGAAAAGGAATAAAGGGAGACACATACCTGCACGTAATACTATTTTTCTCCATGGAGCTACTTAACCAGAATGTAACACATAACATAGGTCTGCCCTCATGCCTGAACAAATACCTTTAGAATGGCCTCAGCTCTGGGTGCAAATTAAAAGTTTAAGGACTTAGACACTGGTTTAGTGAGAAAAATGGTCCCAAAGCCCTGGCCCATTCCCATAGTTCCATGGCCACCAAATGTGGAATGTGGACAAGAATCGGGGATTTCCGAGAGTTGTCATACGCAGTTTTGGGAGCTGTTGTGGCATGTAGAGATTCAGGCTTGGCATGTTTCCTGGACACAGCATGGAGGCAATGCATGAATAAAGGATGCTCATGGCAGAGATAGAGGCCAGGGCAGGGGATGTTGCAGAGGTTGCAAGACGTTTTAACTTACAACTATGCATTCATCTACTGATCATTCTTTCTCATGGTCAGGAGCAAGTGTTGGTTTGTGTTAGGCCTTTTCCAAATTTGGCCAGTGGGTCATTGCTATATACATAATTAAGTTCATGTGAGCATAAAGACTATTCATGCCTCTTCCCGTGTTGGTTTACATCTATCAAATTGCTCATAGAATAGCACTTGTTGATTTTTTTGGTAATGGATTACGCTATTAAATGCCTATCCAGTCTACTTCATACATCTCCAAACTGTCTGATGACATCCTATCCCATCCAATTTCTGTCTTCCCTACTTACTATGTTACTCGGGGTTTTTACTTTGCTTTTAACTCACTTTCAATCGGGAAGCCATTGACTCTCCATTTGATCGTGGGTTGAGGTTCTCCTTCCGCTTCACACAACAAGATGCCACTGCTCCCCGTGCTGTACACTGCACTCTGAGGTTTCTTTTTCCAGCGTGGAGGCTCTGAACACAAAACAAAGAGATTTTTCTGGAAGTGTATCCATAGCAAAAGACCCAACCTTTGTAGCAGCCTGCATTTCGATAATGTACCAGCAGAGGGCAGACACCACAAAGTATTCCATAGCGGTGCCTTTGGTTAGGTTCTGCAGAGCAAGGTGAGTGTATTATGCTCTAGCTGTCTCTCTCCCCCCTTCTCTCCTTCCCTCCCTTCTCCCTCTCTCTTGTTGTGTGTGTACTAATATTACACTTTTAACAGGTATATAAATCAGCATACTAAAAATATACAGCGGCTTTAGCTACTTAACTATACGTTTCACTAGCAGAAACATGAGGGAGGACTAAGCAGATGGGAATTTATTTAGAACTAGCTTCGAACTGTTTCTACTCAAGCTGCAACAAAGTAGCTGAAAAATGTTGGTATGCAAGAAATAGACTCCTAGAGCTTTTTAAATAACAGGAAAATTTGAAAAACCGTTTCAATTTTTCAAAATTGAAAAAATTTTGGAAAACCTTGATTATTGACTGTAGCATTTACATTTCCTATCTATACCCATTTCCTTAACTTGTCAACTTGGAAAACATAATTTGCTATGGATGTTCTCCCTGCAACAAGGCAGGGAGGGGACTTGATAAGAACATTTGACTTTTTGCTTTGAAACAAAGAAGGAAAAACAGAAATGATTGGTCTCTATCTTTTGATACATAAAACTTCAAATGTGTAACTCTAATTGGTGTATGAGAACAGAGCAAGACAAGTGTCTTCAGTTCAAACATTACTCTCATATTTTGTTGCTGTCAGAGTAGCACTATGTGAACAGTGAATGCAAGACTTCAAGCATGGATATCATCATCATCACCATCATTATCATTATCATTATCATTATTATTAATACTATGACTACTATTGGTGTTTCCCTCATGTATGGCTATGTACCACATTCTTGAATGGCTGGTGTTTCTAGAGGTCAGAAGAAAGCCTCAGACCCCTTGGTTGGAGTTACAGACAGTTGTGAGCTATCATGTCCATGTTAGGACCTAGCAGATTAAAAATATTGAGATACTTAGCATACAGTACAAGGGTCTAAATTAGAACTGTAGATCACTTTCTGAAGGGAAAGGTGCCTTTATGAAAATATTATTTTAAAGGGTTATTTTTATTCTTGTGTGAGGGAGGGTGGATGTGTATTGGTGGTTGCCTGCTCAACATGCCTGTTTGGAACCAACCTCAGTTCCTCTGGGAGAGCATCACCTGCTCCTGACCACTGAAACATCTTTCTAGGCCCTTTCCTTTTACATGTTTCTTCCTTGGTCTTTCTACACAACCATAAGAAAATCCAAGGTGTACAAGTTACCCGGAAAGCCAATGAATATGCACAACACTATATTCACAGTAGAAACTATGAATCTTCCTTTCCAAGTATGTAAAATAAAGATCCTGTAATGAAAATATTCTTTCATTCCCCCATATAAGAAAAATCAATTTTTCCAATCACTAACCTCAGCCCAAGAATTTCAACCTGAAAGCCACTCCTTTTCAAAGCACTGAGGGGTAGCAGTGTGTGTGTGTGTGTGTGTGTGTGTGTGTGTGTGTGTGTGTGTGTGTGTAAAGATATATTACTACTAGCATCAAATGAAGAGGTGAGGTATCACCTCATCTAACCTTTGACCTTATGGAAATAATACTGAGCTTTGGAGAATTTATTTGATTTTTTTCAGGGTCATCAGTGAAAGAACCCTCATTTCACATTCCTGCCACTCCATAGATCTCACAACAGAGCCTCTGGGGAAACAGCATAAAGCCGGAAAGCTATAGAGGCCGTTCCTCATCTACCGACACATTATACATGCAACTAGGAATCAAGCTCAGGTGTTTAGTTGAGTCTTTGCATTTCCAAAATCCCCATATCTATCAACTGACTCATGAGGTTTCAAACATTTTGTAGTTGGTTGGAACCATCATTTTACATTATTAGCCTGACACTTCCTCACTAAAAAACCCCTACACATTCCTATATAGGTTTTTCTCTCTTAAGCTCCCTTAAGCTTCTTGTTGGAATAGATGTAGACATTGACATGAAACTTGAGAGACACTTAAAACCTAGCTATTACTGTCTTGTATTGAGCTCAGGCTCACACTCTCGCTGTTGACTTCTCTGGTTGAATATTCGCTAGTTGAATACTGAAGTCATCCCTGAGTGTCCTTAGACTAGTGATCTCTGGAGAACCCAGGGTGAAGCTTGTTTTTTTGTTTCTTCCTGCTTAGGTACAATGTCTGGCTCAGAATAGATGTGTAGGGTGGGTTTTTAAGTAGAACTTAATAAATGTTTAAAGACTTCAGTGGAAAGACATAGGAAAAAATCCTAAAGCCCCTTATATGGAAAATAATCCTTGCTGTCTGGTCATTCACTCTCCTACAACTTAGATTTAAAGAACATATTGGTTAACTGCTACATGGTTCACAAAAGACATTATCAGCATCCTGTAGACAGTAGCTTGATGAGAAACCCAGGGTTGCTGAGATTCAGGGCCATAGAGCCAGCAGAAGTTTACCAATGTTCACATCACACATCTGTGTGATGGGTAAGATCTAGTCAAGTGGATTACAAAAGAGACTAAAGACAAAGGAAATGATGGGTAAACCTGAAAGTGTAGAGGAAGAAGGCATACGGTTCCATTCTTTTATCCACCTGCTTAACATATGTGGTAGCTGATAAAAAGGTTCACCCAATTAGTCATAATTGTAAGCCAACTGCACTATGGAGATGCAAATGCATAAATCCAACAAAATAAGAAGACATCTAACAATGTTTATCATGAGACCAAAACTGGAATGTTGATATCTATGAAACATAATAGATATTTCTTAGTGTAGCCTCTGCATCCTAAGTGCTGGGATTACAGTAGTGCACCACCAGACCCAGTTTATGATTGAATCAAGGGCTTTGTATATATTAGGTAAGCATTCTATCAACTTCTTAGGAAAAATTATTGCTTCAAAATAAGCTATTGTTCATGGTATCAATGACTGGACTGAGTGTCAGTGCATGGCATCTTTTAGATATTGTAATTTGGATAGAATTAAGGATTGAAAAGATGTACAAAAATAATTCATATTATATTTCTAAAATTCAAACAGCCTGAAGTGATTCTAAAGGGGGTAACATAAAAAATTGTTGGTGGGGGAATTTTCTTTTATATTATGAGTTTAAGTGTGACTGATTTTGAGATGGCTAGAATTTGTTCAATATGACACTTTTTTCTTTTATTATTATTATTATTATTATTATTATTATTATTATTATTATTATTATTATTATTATTATTATTATTATTATTATTATTATTATTATTATTATTATTATTATTATTATTATTATTATTATTATTATTATTATTATTATTATTATTATTATTATTTATTAGAGTGTGTGTCCACACCACAGTGTACCTGGACAGATAACTTTATAGAGTCAGTTCTTTCCTTTCATCTTGATGTAGACTCCTAAGCTATAATTCAGGTTTGCCTCAAGGCCCCTTTTAACTCACTAGGCCACATCACTGGTCCTTACCACACCTCTTGCTACTATATATATAATAATCCATATTGTAGGTGCCCAGAAAATATGGTTACATCTAATTAAGATATCACAGCTATTTTTCTCATGAAAATATTGCAATCTGGTTACATATTTAACCTGCTGCAGTTTAAAGTACAAGCTAATGGAATTTCAGCTTTGGGATAGGGAAGAAAAATCACAAACAGAAAAGAAAACAAACTATTCTTCTGTATAGACACACAGGATATTTTCATAAAGGACTAGAATCTCACCAAACATAATAGTACTGCTTTTCAACCATATGACAGTCCTGATTTGAGTTTCTAAATAAAAGAATGAAAAGAAAGAGGAAGATACAAGGAGACAAAAGAAAATGTAACAAAGATGAAGTTGTCTCCCCTGATGACTAGTGAGATTTATGGTTACTTTTTTCTCACCCTAGGGGGGAAAATACTTCTAGAACACACTTCTTGAAGACAGTCCAGTGTCCCATGCAGGTAGGTGTAAGGAGAAGCCGAGACATGCATCTGATTGTACAGTTAGCATTTTTCTCACAAGAGCAAATGTTTCAATATCCTTCATAAAAACAATATTTACTTCTCAGCATCACTAATACCTGTTTTACAAATAGTGAAGATAATTTGTTCAAGAAACCTATATCCCTTTGGAGTCCTACAGTTAACGTTGTAAATTGTATGCTTAATTTTACTTGTATAATTTTTTTGCAACATTTGCAATTCTTTTGAAAGCTTTGGTCTTAATAGTCAAGAAAACTGAGGCCAGATTGTTAAAATATTCAGCTACCGTAGCAACACAGCAGCCATCTGGAAGGATTTCTAACCGTCAGCAACTTATAGTAGAATCGGCTAATAATTATGTATGTCTGGAGAGAGAAAGAGAGAGGGAGGGGGATGGGGCTCAGGAAAATATCCCCATCACAATATATAGCCACATTATATCCAAGTGTCAAATGTATAAAATTATAGACACATCTCTCATACTTTTTCTGAGTGTCTTTTTGAATAATTTATTGTCAGAGGAATCTATTATTATTGCCAGATGTTCATGCTAATGTCTAACATTGAGTTCTCTCCTATACAGGTTTTGCTTTGTTGACCCAAAAAATGAATTCCTTTTTAAAAAATTGTTTCTGTTCTCACGTTAACTAAGAAAACAATATAGAAGGGGCTGGGAAATTGTGTTAGTCCAAACAGGGGCATGACTCAGTCAATTATTGTAACATTTACTTGTGAGTGAAATTTGTGCCTTGTCTCTTTTCTTTTCCATTAATTAGGGGGAAAACAGCTATTACTGAAGTGCTCCTTGTACAAACTGAAGCTTTAAGGTATGGCCTTCATCGTAATCAAAACCCTACAGCTCCAGTTCATGAACCGAGAGACTGGGAGAGATGATTCTCTTCCATAGTTAAGCTAACACAGCACTAAATAAGTACAAATGTACAACTCTGTTCATCTGATTGATACCATTATGGAAACCACAGAAAGCAAAGGAGTGACCAGACCCACAGGAAGCAGTCAGTGTCAATCAAATTACAGCAGGATCAGGCAATTTCTGCCTCTGCACTACAGACACAGACAGCATTTCTAATTTCTGTGGCTGCTACTTCATGAGAGTGATGTCATCATCACCTATTTATTCTTCATTACAACAAATGACAGAAAATCTCAACTGTTCAAAAGACAGTTCAGCTTTTATGCTCAGAAGATGAAGATAATGTGTTTTGGTACCATTTGATAAAAATTAATATTTGCACCATATAGTTTCTACATATTTCTCTGTATGTGGTATACTTAATACCAGGGTACAAAATACAAAATGCTTGGGCAAGGACAACACTAACACAATTCATCTCATTCCATCATTTCTTTGACAGAGAACACAAGGAATAAAAAAAAAAATGAAGCCCAATGCTCACGGGCAAGGCAGCTGAGTGACAAGATTAGGAAGCACTCCAAACTTTCTTCCATGGTCCTTGCAATAATTTTTGATTTTACAGTCATGACCTCATTTATGAGCATGATGTGCGCATTGTAATAAAAATCATTTCATGCAATAAAACCTTATAGGAGGTTAGGTTTAATGACCATTTAAATAGGCCTTGGAAGTGGTGTATGTTAGCCCCCAACATAAGCTCTCCTCTTGACATTTGTGCCTTCCATATGGTTTGCAGAGATCAATTACAAGCCTGATTAATTAAGTATAGTGTTACTCAGTGCCCACACTACAACTAAAACTCTAAATTAAAGATCAGCTTTGACACATATATTGTTGAGGCAAATATCAGTGAATTGTATACACTTATTTTCTTTTTGAAGCAGAAATTTAAATCCCCATATGGAACATACCTTGTACTATAATATGAAAATCATGACTGGCTTTTCCCAACAAATTGCTAGCTGTACAGCGATAATTTCCTTTGTCATGGTAGGATATATTTTCTATCTTCAGTGTCTTTCCATAATTTTCTTTTGTTTCTCTTCCCTTTGGTAATTCACTACCCGGTTTGCTCCATTCAACCTGTGGAGTTGGTCTGCAAGAAATATGATGAATGATAAACATCATTAAAATCATCAACTACACACAACCCCTCATGGCACACCTATTATCATGAGGCCTTACTTATTCACTGAGTTTTCTCAGCCTTACCAATGGACACACCACCACAGGACACATAGGGTTGAATGAGCATGTTTCATCAGATGCTCCCTTAATGGTCTACTCCCTAGGAATCTTGTCCCCTCTTTTAAGTGAGCTAACGCCACATGAGTGCTGAATCAATGAAGCTGGATGCAAGATAACTGACATCAAATAACTAATATTACAAGACATTTCTCAAGTGTGAAATTCTCCCTATGGCCAGGGAGCAACAGATACCCTTCCCTATGTGACTTTCAACATGACACAGTAGTCTCCAACAGCCAGCAGAGGAAAACCACAATTTCCCGTTGAATCCTAATGAAGCCAATTTTGGCTAAAGTGGCTTGGGAATGGAGCCAAGTACGTGGGCTGCATGTAGGAGCAGTTCTTTCATTCTGGGCAGCTTAGGGCAACCAGCACAGACTTTGCTTTTCTTCTCTGTGGTGAACAGAGGGGAGGAGATAAGAACCATGATTCTTCCTAATTCAGGAGCATTAGGGAGATGGGCATACTAGATCAAAACAAACAAAAGGCAGGTATAACCTTGTCATATGCCAACACCTTTCTTCACATTACAATGAAGGGAAACTGGAGCACAGGACAGGTCAAAAGGTTTGTGGAAAAATCCCTTCTAACAATGAGGGAGGAAAAGTGACATCCTATGACACTCTGACTTCATAATGCCACTGATAACCAACTATAAGTGGGCACAACTTTGTTTTTTCCTCCTACAAGACTGGAAAACACATAAATCTGTTATTTACTGTGTTCCTCGTATTCTGAGAAGTCTCTAAGGGTGAGCCGTCTCACTGCTATCATTTTACCAGCATCAAATTGAAGCTCCAAGAAGCTAACTAAATAACATTTATTGGATTCAAAACTTACCAATTTCTTAGTTGTTTCTATTTAATTTCTGCTTTTCAAAGGAATCCATCCTTCCTCACATGCTTGTGGAAACCAGATAAATAATAATTTTCAAGATTTATTTATTATAATGTTATATTTGTGAGTGTCCTCATGTATAAATGTGCATTACATGCACAGCTAGTGACCATGGGGGACAGAAGAAGGCACTGGGTCCCCTAGAACTGGAGTTACAAATGATTATGAATGAGTTCTGGGTATTTAATTAGGTCACCTGCAAGAACAGCAAGTTATTTTAACCACCGAACTAGATCTCTAGCCCCAATGATTAAATTGTTGTCTCAAATTGTTTGTTTCACTTATTTCAAATCAGTTGTTCACAAAGAAAATGGATAAAATTGCTCAATTATTAGGTAACACTATATTGGAGGGAAGATTTTTTTTATAAACATCTGTTATTTTCTCTCAAGGCCAAAGGAATTAACTTTATGGATTTGAAACAACAACTTACTTTTGACCAAGTGCAGAGCACATGGCAGACTTCCTCAGGAAATGGTCATTGCAGACAGATAGGCAGATGTGGGAGTATATTGATTAGCTGTTGAATTCTAGAGAGCATGCCACCAAGCAGTACTCAGAGTCCAAGTTTCCTACCTGCTTGGTTTTTATACCATCTGTCAAAATGGCAATCTGCCAAGTGACAGGCTGCCCTGGACCATGGTTCCTCCCAAACAGATTTTCATGAGTCTGTGCTTCAGCAATGCAAGCATCTTACTTTCCTCAAATTCTTATTTTGCTTCTGTTCTTGAAAAATTGCACTTGTGTAACACTTTTCACTTCATACAATCCAATTAAATGATTTTAATTCAGAGCAACATGACATCATATGTAGGCGTGGTTTAAACAGCTAGAGAACTGTATTCTCAACAGTTCTGTTTTGTTTGCTTTCTTTTTAAGGAGTACTTGCTAACAGAATCTGAACAAGGATGGCTTGAGGGAAAATGTGTTGTTTAATGCTCTTTTTTGCACATCAACATACATTATTTCATAACTTCAAATATTTATGCCAGTTCTTCGTGGGTAACTTTTCTTCTGATTCTTGATTAAAAATGTAGGATCCACAGATACAATAGGTGATTAAATTCATGATGAGTCAATTCCCACATTATGAGTCTGCTCTTATTTCACACAGTGTGAGTGTGAATTATTAAAACAGTAATTCTCCCCACTTTCAATAAGATGGAAGTAATGTGAACATCTTTCTTTCCTGATGAGATTGAAAATATCATTTAACTTTTCCCCATCACTGGGAATCTATAAATCTAAGCTTTCCAACATGTGTATCTCTCTGTAAGCTTCCCTGACATAATTAATATCAACGTGTGTGTGTGTGTGTGTGTGTGTGTGTGTGTGTGTGTGTGTGTCTGTGTGTCTGTGTGTGTGTGTGTGTTGCATGTGCCAGTGTGCTTACATGTGCAAAACAGCACAGGCCAGAGGAGAGTGTCTGCTCTCCTGCTCTATTACTTGTCACCTTATTCATCCCACTGCTAGGGTTACAGGTTTGCAGTCATGTCTGACTTTTCAGGTGAGTGCTGAGCACTCAAACTCAAGTCCTCATGCTTGCATGGAAAGCATTCTTAACTAACAGCATGAACATTTTCATTATCATTATTTACTTAAATGTGTAATTTATGTAACCACCTTAGAGCACATGCAGTGTTCCTCACTGCTTTCCTTGTTTAAGTAGAAAGGGATTATTTGATTAAAACATGTTGGTGTGCATTACACTTAGAGGAGTTTAAGGTTGGGGGGCACAAAAAGGGTTGAATTAGGTTCTATTCAGCTTTTCTTCAGTATGAGCTCTGTGGGCTTGTTTTGACTAACCTGCAAGTGAAAATAATTGTAGCCAGGAAATGTTGGGAGGTAACATGAGTCAAGGATTTACAAGACAAAATACTGCCACAATGGTTAGTGATTTCTAGTTTTTTTTTTTTTTTTTTTATTCTAGAACACACGTGGTTTAAAACTTCCTTGAGATATATGACATCCTTCAAAAACCTTATTGAGAGTATTGTCTCCATTCAAAGGAAGACCAAACAGAATGAATAATCCAACTCAAACAAATTATAAGGGGGGAAGCTCTCTTATTATGACAGAGTATTAGCAATCTTGATTTTGCAGTGGCAAACAACTCTTATGATGTCTATTTTCTCTTTCTGTGTGCATTCCCAAAACTCCATTATCTACAAGGCACAAAGGGGTATTTTTTTTTTGTAAGTGGAGGATATCTGAACAGATGTCAACCACCTCAGGAAGTAAAAGATAGCATTGGGAGGATATAAGGGGAAAGAGGCCCTAAAAGGTCTGCCTAACTCTCAATGCTAGCCAGAACAGTGACAAAGCCTGAAAGAATTTAATTTCTACCACAATATAAACACATGCTGACACCAGGTGGTTAGTCACCAGTTACAGCAGATGGGAATGATTTGACCTTAGCAAGTAGGAGCACTAGATGTCCTTGCAGTTGAACTGAGTTTAATTCCCAGCATCTATGTAGTAGTCCACAAGCTCTGAAATGCCACAGCCTTTTCTTTCTTTCTTTCTTTCTTTCTTTCTTTCTTTCTTTCTTTCTTTCTTTCTTTCTTTCTTTCTTTGTTTTTCAAGACAGGGTTTCTTTGTTTAGCTTTGGAGCCTATCCTGGCACTAGCTCTGGAGACCAGGCTGGCCTCGAACTCACAGAGATCCACCAAGTGCTGAGATTAAAGGCGTGTGCCACTAACGCCAGGTGCCACAGCCTTTTCTTGCCTCTGTGGGGACTGAACACATGTAGTGAACAGACATACTTGCAGTCAAACATTCTGATGAATATAAAATGAAAATAAATTGGAAGGAACCACACAGAAATCAAACTTTCTCCATAGAGTTCATGTGACAACATATCAAAATAATTTGTCACTGAACACTGGTGATTTAAGGTTTGCAAGTAACCTGGTTGGAAAGGCAAATGTGCAAAGTCTATAAGTTGTACAATATTAAAACGATTCTTTTGTTTCACAATCTACCTTAAAACAAGTATTCAGATTTTTCAGTGGATTAAAAACAAGGTGGATTTTATTTTTTACATTCAATAACTAATTAATGTAACACAATTTAACATCTTTCAAATCTTAGCTGATTAAAGATACTCTTATTACTTGCAAAATGATTGAATCTCAAATTAACAAACTGGAAGATGAAATGCCTTTCTCCACAGAACTCCTGATGACAGGCTGTTAAGTCAGCAGGACTACTTGTATAAACAGGTGAACTCATATGACCATGGTCCCAATCCCATAAATGTGCAATCGTCACTCAGCTAAGACAAGAGCTTTAGGAGAAGACATGTACTTAGGGCTTTGGTGGCACAACTGAAACAGGGCATTGATCTTGGAGATATGAGGAAGTGTTAGTCAATCGGTTTTTTAAGTTCTATTTCTCTAAATTTGATGATCTGGACCTGATTTTACACAGAAGGGGTAATAAAAATAAATAGAAGGCTTTGGAAATTTAAAAAAAAAGAGAGTAGTGTAATGGGCTGGTAGAAATGAAGATATTCTAATAAGACTATCAAACCAATGAAAAAACACACTGCCAGAGAAGCTAGTAAACAAGGAGGACCCTAAGAGAGATATACATGGTCCCCTGGAGAAGCAGAAAGGGACAAGGTCTCCTGAGCAAATTGGGAGCATGGGGGGAGGGGAGAGGGAACTAGAAGAGGAGGAGTGAGGAAGACATGATGTGGCAGGGAGGTTGAGTTGAGGGAAGAACAGATGAGAGCAAGATAAGAGATAATAGAGGGAGAGATTATAGGGTTAAAGAGAAATCAGGCACTAGGTAAATGTCTGGAGAGAGACAAAGATGACACCAAATAACAATCTAAGCAACAGAGGAGAGGCTACCTTAAATGCCCTCTCCTGATAATAAGATTGATGACTAACTTATATGCCATCCTATAGCCTTCATCCAGAGGAGTGGATCAGTACTTATCTCTAGCATAGGAATGGACTTTGTGAGCCCATCCCACAGCCCATCCCTGAGCCTGGACACAAGGGGGTTGGCTTAAGCCCTATCGCAAAGAATAAGGACTTTGAAGACCTCTATGGAAGGCCTCACCCTCCCTTGGGAGCAGAAAAGGTATGGTATGGGTAGGGTGTTACTGGTTGGGGGGGCAGAAGAGGAGGGGAGGGAAAGGGACCTGGGATTGACATGTAAATTATTTTTCTTTCTAATTAAAAGAGAAAAAAAGGAAAAAAAAGTTGACTCCAAAGAAATGGGAATTTCTCCAGGAATCTTATTCTGGGAGAAGGAAAAGTGGCTAGCCAGGGGAGCCTGTTTCCCATGGAAAAAGATTTCACACAGTTCTTAACAACTTGTCAGACGACATTACAGGTTGAGATTGAAGTCCAGACAATGATTGATGAGTCCAAAGTGTGAGGGACCACACCTTGCTGGGATTTCTTCAAAGTGCTCATCCTTAGACCTCCATTTAAACTTGACTCTCACTTCAAGATTGGGACAGACCCAGGAGGGAACTCCAGATCCTTTTATCCCTCTTAGAAATATGAGCACGTTAAATAAACCTTCTTTTCTGTTTTCCTCTGTGAATTTGACTTTTTATCGACTATTGAGGATGGGTAGCTGCACCTGGCTTGGGGCACAGGTTGTGACTCTCCCCAAGTACATTAACAGTGGAGCTAGTGCCCTATACACCAGGCAAGGGATAGAGGAGAAAGAAAATGCAAGGCTTAAGGGCTTAAGGGCAGACTGAGTGAGTGCTAATGCGCATACTCTAAAGACAGCAGTAGCACATCTTCAACTTGGTTTTACTCCATCCCTGCATTCCACAATAAACAGCCGGCACCTCTAAGTCATATTCAGTTGTAGCCTGAAGTCCGTATAAGGAAGCACCAATTTGTTTCTTCAGAGAAACCGGAAGAGTGTTTATATTTTTAAAAATAGTAACTGAAGAGCATGCATGCAGCAAACATCTTGATTTTGCAGTATTTGAAACACTGTATGGGAGAGGGCTGGGCAGAGGCCAGGGTACTCACAGGCCTTCAGCAAAACACTCAAGCAACAGAGTTTCCCCTTTGAGCACAGTCATTGTGGATGAACTACCCCTCTGAGCAGGAGGCAAGAGAAGTTTGGGTTTCCTCTGCTTGATTAAATTTGCTGGAAAAGAAAAAGGAAGAGTTAATTCCCTCTCCAATAAAGATAGTAAAAGTTCTATATTACTAGGTTGTTTTGGCATGACTTCACACTGTTTTAGGTATAGATTTTGGTGTTCTTCTTCTTAAACAGATTCTATCATTCAAGAGACTAATGCAAGTAAGCATGTGTCTCTCTATTTCTTTACCAATTTTCATAAAAGGCACAATGTAAAAAACCCATTCCTTTTCAGAAATTGAAACCTTATTCAAGAAAATTTCTTGAACTCACCCTCAAGTTAATAGTCTGACTTTGTATTCTATAGTTTGACCACACCTTGAGATTTTTGATGATTACATACCCTATTTAACTTATTGATCTAAGTATTAGATAGGAATCCTTCTAAAAAAAAAAACACAGCTTCCTGGGATACTTCATTGACAATTCAGAGTGGGCAAACTTATGGTAAACACCAGGCATCTATGAATTAATTTAGCTGTTGAGGAAATTCTTTTTAGTCTCAGACCCTCAAGGATACATACTGTTTCAGGAAATGACTCATAATAAGTCTCCCCACTAAGTAGATATTGGTAATTTCATTTTTCTTTTCTAAGTAATTTAAAACTATAAGGCAAATTAGGACATTTCAGTCACACTACACTTTGATTTCATTTCCAAATATGAACATAAATCTTTTTTCATACCCATTGCCAATGTGACTTTATCTTAGGTGGGAAGACAATAAATACTGATATTTTAGTACCAGAAAAGAAGATTGCAAGATATAGGAAGTCATGTGCAGTCTGCTTTGCATTTCCTTGCATGTATTTATATATTAGAAATGACTTTTGAATGTGTACTTTATGCAATGTTTTTTTTCTGTGCTTGAAGATGTATATGTAAATTAATAATCTCAAAGACAATGATGTTTGGATGATTCAAGACACATGAAACAAGACACCCCAAGAGGAGACTTATCCACTTTTGATGACATCACCATGTATTAGAAATCTAAGTGAAGCCTCTATTCTACATAATATAAGGGTTATTTATTTCACTCATACATGTGATTGTAATGTAGAAAACAGGTAAACTATATAATTCAAGTAATAGCTCAAGCAGCTTAGATAAAATGCAAGTTCCAATACATGTTTTATAGAAAACTGAATAAGATTTTAAAAGTTCCATAGTCAAGAGAATTGGATACATATTGAAAACTGCATTATTCCACATAGTTAAAGTGTATAGTAATTTGTCAACTGTTCTGATGTCTTACAAGTAAAATTAATTCACTTAACTTTTCTAAAACCAGTGTTTCTCCACTTCGCTTGATATTAAAAATTTATTTTCTCTTCCCTTTTATAAAGTTATCAACCTTGCATTCCATTTGTGAACTCTTAGGAGAGACATATTTACATATATATATATATATATGTATATATATATGTTAATTATATAATTACATATTACTTGTAAAGGTGAAACACACACATACACACAGACCCACACTGTATATCTGTCTCTCATTACTAAATTCTAAAGGACAGTGGATCATAGAATCTCCTATGCTAAATGGTTACTTAACATGAATAGTAGCATTTTTCTAATTGGCATAAATAAAGTAAAAATTCAAACTGAGATGACAATGAGTGACTAAAGGTAAAAATAAATTTCCAAATGCTTCACAAGGACAACTTACCCTTGGAACTAATTTCTGTGGATGAACTTGAATCATTAGCATGCTTTACTGAAATAAAAAAGATGGAAGAAACTAATAAAAAATAATGGTGGATGCTGACATTAATAAAGCATGAAAAATCAAAGTCATGAACTTATTTCTGGAAAATTACAAAATGAAGTAAAGCCATGCCCATTTGCACACTGTTTGTGGGAATGCACATACATATATACATATACATATACATATACATATACATATACATATACATATACATACATATATATATGGAAAGAGAGAGAGAGAAAGAAAGAAAGAAAGAAAGAAAGAAAGAAAGAAAGAAAGAGAGAGAGAGCTTAAATTTGAAGTTGTGAAGAGTAGACATGTTGTAATTCTATTACAGAGATTTCAGGCTCCTGAAAGGAATCATAAAGAAGACCCCGCAAATCATATGTGCACAAGATAATGGAACAATCGTGCATCAAATTAGACAATGAAATGGTCATGCCAACCTTCTCTGTTCTACCAGGGCCAATTACTCAGTCATGAAGCTGCTGGGATTATTCTTTCCCTTTGAATATTACCACTTCGCCTCTTACTAATTACTTCTTCCTTTCTGGGAACCCAGACATGCATTTGCAGATTCAAGTAGGAAACAGAAAATCAATTCAGGTAACTTTGCCAATTTGAGAAGGACAAAGAAAATGCTTGATGTGATAAAAAATATAAATGGTGAATTTTTTTGACTCAATTTTTGTCTCCTTCATTTTCAGCCTGCTGATTTATCCAAGGTCACGGTGAGCCCACGCCTGAGATGTGCTTTATGCTCAGTGAAAATGAGTAGATCCTGCAGACATCAAATGAAACACATTTGTACTGTGAATTGAGATTTGATTTTCTGGCTGCCAGAGACAGCGCTACTGTGGATTTGCAGCTGCAGATGTCTAGATCATCTTTATAAAGTCTCTGGAGTTAAAGGAAACAATGACGGGAAATACCAACTTGGCTTTAAATGTCTTCAGAGAGAAGAATAAAATTATGCACGTATTTGCATTCAGCATGAGTGAAGGAAGAATAAATTATCTGGACTTACAACTGTTCACAGTTAGTTTCATTGGCATTTTTTGTACAATCGTCCTTAATTTTGGAAATGCAGCAAAGCAACAGTAATCATTTCGACTGTCTTTTTCTTCCACATTTGCAAAATACAGATCTCCCTTTTGGCTCATGTATACTCTTTCATCTTGTTCAATGTGTTCTAATTCTGCAAGGAAAAAAATAAATACAACCTTGTCACTGAAATGGGCTGTTGTTCCTCCTCACAATGCTACAACAGACTTTTACATTTCTATTTTTTTCATATGATTTGTAATGTGGTGCCTCTTGTCTGTTCTTATTTTTCTACAGTATCGTCTTAATATAAGAGCAATGAGCAAGCAAACAGCTAAAAATAGGCAACAATGAAATCCTCAGAAGGCCTAGAATCTCACAGATACACCAGCAGTCTGGGTGTTCCACCCTTCATTACCAATTGGTCTGTGCCTTTGCTATGGCTGATCTGAAAACTGTTCAGTTCTAAAAACAGTCAATCATTATTTTTATTTTTTTGGAATGATATTTCGTTGAAACTGTGCTCCTCAGAAATGATGTTTGAGCATCTATAACCCTGCACTGGGTGCAGATATGTAATTACAGGATGAGTGAATGCTACAAAGTTTGGCTGTAGCCAAGTGCAGCTTCACTTATTTTCCTTTGGCTGTTGTACAAATATGATTTTGCTCTGTAACACAATAGAGGAACACCCAGAGGGGCACTGTGAATCATGTGACAAAACCAGCTTTCCAAGAAGAGGCTTCAGCAACCACAAATCTTCTTGGAAGATTAAACGCACAGACTGATACAGAATGTCTTGTAGGCCATTGATTTTATCAGGTAGAACTAAGTTAAAACTGTAATACTAAACAAAAAACAAACCCAAGTCACTTCAATTGTGAACTAGCCTATGTTCCAAAGATAAGGACTGTGGAAGGATGGTTTTTTACAGGTGTGTCCTATTATATGAATACTTCCTAAACCCCTCCAAATACTGGAAATCAAGGAATGTAATGATTTTCTTGTGTCTTCAAATATACATTCTAGTTTATACTCAGAAAAAAGGGTGAAATCTCAAATGCCTCTAATTTTGAAATATATTTGATTCTACAGCATAATCAATTAGATATGAATGATTGCTTTGATTGGTTTCACTGTACTACTTACATAGTTCATGGAATTAAAGTAACTCAAAATGATGCAACAGCACCCTACTTACCAATATTCATCCAATAGATGTGCAAAGGTGGGAGGCCTTTGGGAGGGTTGCAGGGTAGAACAATGGAATCCCCTTCTTCTACATCCATGGGTTCAATTTTTTCTTTTGGGAATTTTGGAACACCTGATAAAATGATCACCACGAGACACAAGACATTCGATTTTAATGTAACATTAATATATTTTTGTTATTAATACCCAATGACAGCCTTGTCATAAAAATGAGTAACTAAGAAATTCAGCATCCCATGTCTTTGTTCTTCTATCTCCTCTACAGAGGTAAATACTATTAAGAATATGGAAAGATGAGGCTGCCCCCAGACCCTATCTTCTCTTTCTGTTCCCCCAGTTGTAATCCTACAATTGCACCCCAAATTCTACAGCAGAACCAGCTCTACAGTAGAACACCCTTGGTTCTAGCCCAGTCTCATCTCCCATGGTTCCCACAGATCTTCCAGCTTCTATTTTTTCTCCTTGACTCATAGCTTTTTACCAGACCCCAATTCCAGCAGTCATGTCCGGATAATCCGAGGGCCACCCATTGTAGGGCAATAAGTAGGCAGAATGCAGAACTACAATTCTCCCAGTGCTCCTGAAATTCAATTCCCCCACCCAGCTTCATGCCCAGTTATGTATCAAACAATCTGCTCTGGTTTCCCTTTCCTGTCTGATCCCATCCCCAAGACATCACAAAGACCTTCTTGAGTCTTCCCTCTCCAAAATCATCCCAGTATCCAAGCCTTCAATACCAGCAGGCATGCCCTGTGAACATACCACCTGAGCAGGCCAGAAAAATAGCAACACAGAGACATCAATCTCACTCTCTGAAAGTCCAGGAAGAAAACAGAATCTAAGAAACAAAATAAAGCCAGCAAAGACAAATCCAGAAATCATTACCTAGACTCATAATCATACCTAATCCAGATGCCTAGACATCAGCATAAAACACAATAACATACAGGGCAATATGTCTCTACTAGAGCCCAGCTATCCTACCACAGCAGTCTCTGAATATGCCAACATAAATGAAGCACAAGAAAAAGAAAACTTAAAACGAAGTATATAAAGATGAAATTATTACATTATTAAAGAGGAAATTAATAATTACTTTAAAGAAATCCAGGAAAACACAAACAAACAGTGTGAGGGAATGAATAGATCCTTACCTAAAACAGGAGAAACTATAAGAATTGAGGAAATCACTCTGAAATTTGCCAGAAATGTGGATTCCAACCAGGCCAAAAAATCTTTGACCTACAATCTGTCCTTCATGAAAAATATGCTAGGGCAATGGTGGCACAGAACTTGTGAGAATAGCCAAGCAATGTCTGATTTGACCTAAGTCCCACAAGACAAGAAGAAACCCACACCCAATGCTGCATGGGTAACCAAACGACAGAGACTAGAAAGCCCAGAGTTCTGCAGTAAAATCAAATACTACTGGTCTTTTAAAAGAGCCGATAAAATAATTCCTAAGAATATTCAGCTATACTCATAGACCAGAGCCTTATCCAGTCATCATCAGAGAGCCTTCCTTTGGAAGAAGATAGGAACAGATGAAGAGACAGAGTCTAAATTGGAGGTTTCCTTCAAATACCTCCTCTCAGAGATCAGGGAATCACTTGGAAGTGGAGGTATAAAGAATGTAAGAGCCAGAGAACATGGGACACACCAGGAGAGCAAAGCTCTCGAAATCAACTAAGCAAGACTAACATGAGTTCACAGTGACTGAAGCAGCAAGCACATGGCCTACATGGGCCTCCACCAGGTCCTCTGTGTATATCTTCTACCTATTAGTTTAGAGTTTTTAATGGAACTCTCGACTTAGATTGAGGAGGTCTCTGACTTTTGTGCCTGCTCTTCAATATGACAGTTTTTGCTTCATCTTACATTTTATTGTGTTATGTTTAGTCGTTATTTATTAGAAGCCTGTTCTTTTCTAATGAGAGACAGAAAGGGAGTGGATCCAGAGGGGAGAGAAGGTGAAGAGGACCTGGAGAAACTTCTTTCAGGTTATACTGTATAATGAGAGATCTATTTTCACTAAAAGGGAAAAGTAGCCTGTCATAAATTTTTGTAAACTTTAAATATACTTCTTGGACACATGAGATAGTACATTTGGTAAGCCTGACAACCTGAGCTCATGCCCTGGAACCAATATGGTAGAAGTAGAAAACTGATGTCTAAAGTGGTCCTCTGGCCTCCATGTACGTGCTCTGATAAAACCACTACCTCACAGACAGACAGACAGACAGACAGACAGACAGGCACGCACGCAGGCACGCACGCACGCACGCACGCGCGCACACACACACACACACACACACACACACAGAAAGAGAGAGAGAGAGAGAGAGAGAGAGAGAGAGAGGAGAAATAAAATAAATGAAAAGACATTAAAATATAAGTCCTGAAAAAATATTTTGTGCTCTAATAAGATATGAAAACATTCATGTGTTGTTTTTCTGAGATACAATGCAAACCACAGGATTTGTTCATTTTAGTTCCCACAGACATGGGTCTGGCTTTATTGCAAAGGCAGTGAACATTATTGGTTAGTACCCTGTTCAGATCATTTGCTATGTTAAGCAAACAAACAAATCGAAGCTCACATAAGGAAATGGGAAACACAATGAAGAGCAAATTTGACCACTCTAAGTTGCAAAGAAAGCCATCTATCTGGAGTATCCCTCCAATAAATGTGATTTTAAGTGAGATATAACTGATGTTGGAAACAAGGGTTTCCAGTAATTCATCCTATTATTTTCTTCTCATGATGGGATCAGTTTCCCATGGAGCAAGTATGAGAAGAATGCAAGTCAGAACCTCACAGGACTGGCAGCCAACACCAATGCTCCACATTCATATAAACTATTTACACCTATATGGATATTCAAAATATATTCTGCCTGAACATCTTTCCAACTCCACTAGAGGACTTGATATTGTGGATTCAGAGAAGTTCTGATTCAAGGCAAATAGTTAGCAGATGACATCTACCAAAAGTCTAGCCTCATGAGATTTTTTTAAAAATATGTTGTAATTTTTTATACTTAAACAATGATTCACAAAATATAACCATATTTGCTTGAGATTGAAATTCAATCTCAAGTTTTGCAAATGTCTTGCCAGTCTCTACAAAATTTATTGTGAGAACTGCTACCCATTTCCTCTGTATTTATCATATAGCTCTTTAGCCCCCATACAATTCTCAGTCTTTGGGACAATTTTCTGACATTTTTTTATATCCAGGTATCAGCTGTTTACAAGGAATTGCTTTTGGTCTAAATTCAAGGACTTTTCCAAGCCGTGTATTGTAGGAGGCAATGAGCTATTACAGTACCTAAGCAACATGGGCAGGGAAGCTTCAATATCTGCACATTCAGCCATATGGTGCTTCCCCTTTGGTCATCACACTTATGCCAGATATTTTTTGAGACATTGGCAAGACATGTGAATCACAATTATCCTTGAACCACACTTTTGCTGTAGGTACCATGAAATTCCTAATAACAGACAGATTGTTTAATACTTCAGTGTTAGCATCACAAAGATAAAATATAATCTAAATCCTTGGTATTGATTGACAAGAAGCATACCTTACCCATATGCAAAATTAATAAATCTGTTACATACTCAAACATAAAATTCTAATCATTTATTTAGTTTCTTTTGCCACACTGAGGTCCAATGTACACTGGTATAGAAGTTAGCCATATGTTTGGTTTTGATGACTCTGTTTACACTCAGAAGCAAAGGACAAGGGAAAAGAAACACGTATAGGAAAAATGAATTGGTATGTTATTTTCAATCAAATATGCAAACAATCAAGTGCTTAATGTGAATACCCAGCTTGCAAGGAAGTAGATAATTAATAAGATATATGAATCATTAGTTGGATATCTGCTCCCTCAAAGCATGCAGAAAACTCTAATGATTCAGACAGATAATATAGCCGATGAAGTGATAGCATCCTTACATTAATTAAATCTAGA